CTTCTTCAAGGTCATGATGACTTGTCCCACTATAAATCCCTTGCCATTTGGCATGTGCACTTATTTAGGATTAGATCTTCAAAATATTCGAGAGAACATTATCAAAAGTAAATCAATCTTGGCCTCAAAAAATAGAGGATACTAGTTAGTAGCTGTGAAACAATTATATATTTTTATAATTAAAAATAAAATTATTTTTAATAATAATTATTATTTAAAAAGTTATTTTAAATTAATCTCATAACTAAAAAGGTAATAATTTTTTTATAAATATAAACATGAGTATTCACAAATTATCTAAAAGTTTATAAAGAAAAAAATTAAATTACAATTTTTTATTTTTTAAATTTTTTAAAATTAAATTAATAAAAAAGTGAGTAAAAATAAAATTAGTTGCAAAAATATAATTAAAGTACACGTAACTAACTATGAAAAGAATAATTTTAATTAAAGTCTCACTTTTAAGATAAAACAATTTTATTTATAATATAAAAATTAATAGTAACCTAAAATATGTTAAATTATGAAACTGATAGAGTATGACATTCTTATGATAAAATTATCAAAATAATTTAAAATTAATATATAATAGAAAATATGTTTAGAACATAAGTACGAGTGATTAAAAATATGTAATTTATAATTATTTTAGTATTCTAATATGCATTGATATATGGGTTTTGAACTAAAAATAAAATTATAAAGTACAGTTGTAAATATTCATATTGTTTCTGTAATGCTTACATATTTTGTATAAGTACAACATGACTATTATTTAAAAGCAGGGTCTTGTTAATTATTTAATTATTTAATTTTGTGAATCAATGCAAATTAATAATATATTATATTTTTGGTTATAATTTTATTTGGATATATGTTATATTTGTAACATGTCAAAGCTTGTATCGTTAAAAAAAAATACAATCAAAGATTTAGATACTCTTGAATTTGTGTAGAAACATGACCGTTCAGTCAATATTCACTGAAATAAATTTAAATTTACTTAAACAAAAAAAAATTGATTAAGAAATTCACTTAAGTGAATTTTTACTAACAATCAACAATCTTTATTTATAGCTATTAAGATTAGATGAATGATATGCATCTAGCAAAATTTAGAAAAATCACAACATCCTTAAGTAAAGTTTTTTCGTTTAAATAAATTTAAATTTATTTAAGTAAAAATAAATTAAATATGTTCTTCAAAGGTCTTAAAAATCTTTCTCCCTAAAAAGGAAACAAAGCAAAAAGCCTCTACCTAGAAATACATCAATTCATTGCTTACATTTATCATTTAGAGATGTCTAACTATGGGTCTAGGCCCATATTGTCATGTTAGTTCAGAAAACCAAATATCATGTCTTTTTGACATGTTTTCACTCTTGTAAAATGTCAACGTGTAGCTTTCACAGGAAAAAGTTTTTGAGTGAATTTCTTAAAAAAGTCTTTCTAGAGAAGAAAAAATTTGTGTAAAAATTAAATAAATTTTTTCTCATAAATAAAAAATAACTTTATTTTTTCAAATTTTAAAAATTTTTCTCAAAACTTCTTAAAAAATACTATACTTTTTAATTTATGGAGAAAACTTTATTTATTTTTCATGACAATTTATTTTCTCCTATAAAGATTTTCTTTAAAATTTATTAAAAGTGGGTCAAATCAACAACAAGAATTGATTAAGATATGTCTACTAGAATTGTTTAATTTCAAATAGTAGTTCAATTTCAAGATCTTACTTTATTTCTACTTTAAAATATGTTTGGTTAATGGTACTTGTTTGGGGCATAATATGATAAAAACAAGTTTTCAAATATTTAGGATAAAGTTAAACTCAATAACTCAACAAACATTGTAGCAATCCAACAAAGAAGGGTGCATGAAAAGTCTAATAAAGAGATGTCCAAGATGTAGATTTGATATAAGAGCTGCATAAATAAGCAAAGAAAAGATAAGAGCGCATTTATTCCTTTACAAATAAGACACAACAAAACATAGCACAAAATTAAAACACTGTAAGCATTCTAAGCGTACACCAATACTGAGACACTGCAAAGTAATACAAATTTTTTCAAAAACAAAGTATACAATATGGCATGAGGCATGTTTGAAACATTGGAAGTAAAGATAAAGCATAAAAAATAGAGGTTAGTAGGTGTTCTCAAAATATGTGATGCAATTCCAACTATTCATCAACACAAAAAGTTACTTGAGATCATCATCAATCTTATGTAAATGACTAGTTTTTTAAGGACTCAACGTGACATCTTCATTAGAATATCACGAGAACATATAGCTCATTAAAAATAAAAAATGTTTATTACCGTTTCAGAATAATATATTTTTACTAAAGATTAGAACTTATGGCCTCATATGCATAAAGTATCCTTATAAAACTCACATAACACGAACAACTAAAAATATGTCTGTAATGTATGAATCCCGTGTTCATTAATTTTCACCCACAAAACAGCGCTGGACCAAAATTACCTTTTATGGGTTAAGTACAGTAGAAGTTGGTGATATTGTTTTTCTTAACGAGGATAGGCATATTATGCCAAATACATTCTGGGAACAAACAATTTTGACAGAAGTGCACATGGCCAATTATATCGTTATTGATCCTCATACACAATTGGTGACCTTGGGACCCTTTGGTATACCCTTAGTGGGTCGCTTTAGGCTAGAAACTTGATTGAGTTGAAGGTTTTTCTCTACAACAATTAACATCCCCACTTCCAATTATGCTCAATTGTAACACTAGCAACCTGTTCAAGAGTTATACCAATTGCTGAATTGTACAGCAAAGTTACCCTTGGTGTTGGGCACACCAATTTTCATTAGAATGGTTCCAAAAAATTGTATTTATCTTGCTTTCTTAGTTTGTACGTTGTAGAGGTAACACCTAGCCTATAAAGCTGATCTCCAAATCTTCCAATCTTGGTTACAAACAAACATTATCTGTGGTCCCCAACACAGCAGAATTTGGCATTTGCCTCGTGTCAAAGCATTCTTAAGTATTGTGGGATAGCATTCATCCTATTTTCTCACGCAAAAGTGGACAAGAAATAGATGCCTTTCGGCTTAGGTGAAGGACCACAACATAAACCCAAGAATGTTTGCTAGCAGCCATAGTTTTGCCCCAAAATACTATTCTGTTGCCTCAAAATCTAAAAAGGATAATAGTTTTACTTTTTCAAGTTTTATAAATTAGTTGAAAACAATAAACTTATAGCGTATGATTTTAATATTAGGTTAGCTAGCTTATAACTTATAAAGTTACATAACCTCTTAATTGAGTTAGAGGCATTTAGTAAAGGTTGTTTAACTAATTGATTAAATTAGAGTTATTTATTAATTTTTTTTAGTAAAACTATTTGTACAATTAGTTGAAATATATTAAATGACTAAAAAGGGCATATAATGGTATACAAATATTCATTAAAATTAAATAAAAATTATTTCATTTATTTAATTATTATTCATTAATAAAATATTTAACTATTAATTAAATAATTGAGTATATTTTATTGCAAAATTAGGAATAAAATAATTTTATTAATAACTAATAATTTTAAAATCATACCGATCAAATAATCAGTAATAATTATATATATATATATATATATATATATGTGTGTGTGTGTGTGTGTAATATAATATTTTTATAATAAACATTTAAAATTATATAGAATTTCAAATTAGTATAAAAGATCAAAATCATCTGAGTTAGTTCTTGACCAGATTTGTCAATTTGTGATGGGTAAAATTAACTGATTTTTTTAATATAAAAGTTAGATGAATTTAAGAGCAGTTTGGCTAAACTTATATAAAAAATTAATAAAACTTCTCTCTTCATTAAAAATATCTTATCTTTTTCAAATTTTCGAAAAGCTAAATAATTTTTTTTAAAACTAAAAATATATAAATTAAATTTAACTTATGAAAAAAATTAGTATTTTTTATACTAATTTTTTCCAGTAATTTTTTAAAGTTTATTGTTTAAATACGTTAGATTGACCCATCCAAAGTGAGCCTTAATCTGTTAGATTGACCCATCAACACACTTTCCTACGCTCGGCTGATTCTCATTTTAAAACGGATTTAAAAAGGGCGAGACAAGTTCACCTGTCATGTTAAATATTAATTATTATTATTGTTATTTAATTTTACATATACAAATTAATAAATATTAAAATTAAAATTAAAATTTTAATATTAATAAAATTAGTTTTTTACGTAAATTAGAAAAATACACACACACACACACACATACACATATATATATATATATATATATATATATATATAATTTTATCAGATTTTTTTGTTTTAATTAATATAGTTTTATTTCCTTAAAAAAAAGTTTAAGTGCATCAATCCGTCAATAAAAATAGGGTTGGTTAAACTCAATTTAATTTTTTTGGGCAAATTCGGACAAGTTGATTCGTTTTACCATTTTTTTAATATTAACCAACCAATTTAGTTCTTAAAAAATGTTAGTAACTCAATACAACTTCATATGACATTTTTAAAAATTAACTCTACTTCCTAAATAAGTTGTTTTTTATAACCAAAAATATAAGTAAATTAAGTCTTAAATATTCACAAGAGTGAGAGAATAGCCTCAAATCAGTAGAATTTGAACGACATACAAAGTTTTTCTTAACTTGGCTAAACAACCTTTATGAAACTCTGATCCATTTTGAAATCTTAATTAGAGTTGCAATAAAAGCACATCACCCCATTTTTGTGGAAATCAACAAAAACCATACTCCCTCCGGTCGCTCTTCTCTAAGATCACTTTAATTAAATCTTTGAATTAAAGAGTTATTAAAATAATTTATTTATTTATTAACAACATAAATTTACTTTTTATTAACATTAAATTGAATTGATCAATCTTACGTTTCAATATTCAATTCAAGTTTGACGCTTGTTTATATTCTTAAACCTTTATATATAAAAAACTAAAAAGCTTATTAAAAGAAGACTAGGAAGAGGGTTGGAAAGAAGCTTCCAGCATCATGTGTGGGTCATGTTACTAGTTAGAGCTGGCTTCCATTTTATTACATTTTAACCATAACCCCATAAACACGTTCTCCCTAGTGTCTTGTGTCTCGTGGTACATGTCCTCTCAACAAGAAACCACATCACACACATCAAATATAACTATAAGATTTATAACAACACTAAAATCACTACTCAAGTATATACTAAAATTATAAAACAAAGGGTACAACCTCAAAATAGGTTCGAATCACTAGATGAATTTTATCTACTTCCAAGTCATATGTTAAAAGTAAGAAAACAGCAAAATAGTCCCTCATGTCATCCTCCTACTCTCAAAATGGAATGAGACCTGGCTCAAGGCCAGATAATGCAGCTATTAGAAGGCAAACAATCAGGGATCCAGCTGAGAAGGGAATCAATGCTGATGCTGCGTTCCCAGGAGATGGTGATGGAGCTTGTTCTGGAGATTGCTCACTTCCAGCACCCGGTGCTGTTGCAGATGATGAAGGAGAGAGGCCTGCAGGTAGAAAATTTATAATCATTCAAATTAGGAACACTAATCATGTGAGAAATTGAGAATCTAACTACAAAGATAAAAAGTTCCAAGATTTTTCACATTAATGCATGCTTAATTGAGCCGCAAAATATATAATATTAGTATGGATAACATATTTTGATTTTCAATTTTCATATTTCCGTCTACCTTGGTGATTCCTATATTTCATTATTAATGAAGAAAATGAATATCCTGTAATCTAAAAAGTACAAACCAAACACCATAACATAAAGAAAACCGAATGCTTCAATGCCTCCTAGTCATAACTCATAATTAAATAAAAATAAATTAAATCCCAGGAAAGGACTAAACCACTGAACGAAAATGCCTGCAATTAAGCTTTAAATTATTCACAATTGTTTCCACTAACCCTGTTAGGCAATCATGCATCTGAACATCTCCAGAGCACATGAAGTGCCAATGCAGTATGTTCCACAAGAGTGTGTGTGTGTATGTGGGTATTAATGGTTAATTAAGTTAAAATAAAAACAGTCTGCGAAAGGAATATCTTGATGATTAACATCCAGAAGAGAGAAAACAACAAATCAGATATGGCTCTTAATATTACTACACAATCAAGCACATGACAAGATCCCCTTTAAATTTTTAACAAAATTGAACATAAAACTACAACCCCAAAGATTGTAACATACCAGGAGCAGCTGCAGGCGTTTCAGACACTGCAAAACAAGAAAAAAAAAATCATTACTAACATAAGTCCACAAAGGAATGTTTTTTTTCTTCTTTAACAGAACCCCGAAAAAAAAACCAAACTTTCTAGGAAAACACTCTCATCAAGGATATTCAGAAGAATGAAGAAGAAGAAAGTGAGAAAAAAACCAATTGGGGGGGGGGGGTGTTAATGAAGAAGAGAAGCTCACATCCACAATTAGAGAAAGAAGGAGCAGAGAGTTTGCAAGCAGCAGGAAGAGTCAAAGCCTTAGTGACATTCAAAACGACACCGAGCTGAGAGCTACTCTTGAAAGCCTCACAGAGACAAGAAGGAGCGGTTCTGAGGACATTTTTTAAGGAAGAGCAGCATGTTGCTTCTGGTTTTGTTACGGTGCTGCCATTGGAAACAAAGGGCAAGCAATCAGCCATGGTGATTATAAGGCTTGAACAATCCAAAGAGGGTGCTGGCGCATGCGCATGGTGTGATGATGAAGCACTATCAACGGCCATGATGGCCACAACGCACAGAAAGAGTGACAACTTTGGTGCCATAACAACAAAGGGAGAGAGAGTGAGTGAAGAGGTTAATGTGGGAACTGAGGAGTTAAATAAGGGTAGTGAGTAGTTGAAAAGGTTAATGCAGAAAGAGTAGTAACAATGAGGGTGGGAGTTGGGTTGACACGTGGGCAATGAGGATCGTGTGAGATGAAAGAATGCAGAATGTGTACGTGTCCTGCATACTGCAGTACCTAGTTTCACTCTGATCCACATGTGACATTTACAAATTCATAATTCCTTGAAAATATCAATGTGAATGCGTCATGTTGCTCTCCAACTCAAACTCGTCTTTATCAGAGTTCCAACTGGTTAATTAGGTGAAAAGGAAGAAATGGCTCTGTTAATCTGCTGTTTTAGATATTCAAAAATAATATTTTTTACATTTTTGGTAAAATTATAAATACCATCTTTTTTATTTTCAAAATTTGTATAGAAAATAGTAAAAGTAATTTGTTATTATTTTCACCATTTTTTTACAAATCTTTAAAAATAAAAAACATTTTTATTATTATAAAAAAAACATTTTTTTCAAGCCAAACAGCTCCAATTTTGTCTCATTGATGATTACGTCCATATTTAAGAATCGTTTGCATCATATGATAATGATATTTTGTTTCGATTTGATGTTTTTCATTTTATTTTGTTTTATATTTGCTCATCTAAATCTCAAACTGTAAATGCTAGCATATATCTTCCAACTGCCACGGATATTACATATAGTTGGGAATTGATTTGTATGACATTAGTTAGGTGATTTGTTAAACATTTCTTTTTTGAGTGGAAATTGAAACTCAACTATATGTATATATGTATTGATCTTCAAATTGTGCAGTATATGTGAATGAGCATGATATTTCGAGATAGAAAGAAAGAAAATGAAATAAAACTGAATTCATGATGAAAAGAGTGTAATAATATATTATTATAATTCAGTTTGAGAGGGTAAACTCGTAAGGATAAATACCTAACTCAGAACAGCTACCTTTTTCTTTTGAGGGGAAGTTGAAACTCAACTATAAATGGTAGTTGAATAGACGTGGCATACGAATTTAGAAGAGTCGTGCAGAATTGGTGAATCATCATGTTTCAGCTATGTGTCAAAAATATGAATTGATCAATTCATTGGAAGAATCTGTATCGATCGATTAAAGCATTCGGATTTCATAATTATTCAGTAAGAGAATCCGATTCGAAGGAAAGTGAAAACAGGTGTTATGATTCTCTCTCTATATATATTAAAAATATAAATAAATATCAATTTCTAGATAATATTTTTACAAATTTTTAAATTGTGTGAAATTAATATTCATGATGATAAGGTTTCCAATTATTGAAGACAGCACTTTGTGGTTTAGATATTAATTCGGGACCAGACAAATAAACCATGGATGCTGATACTATCATAGTATTAAAATAATTAAGACAAAACATGGGTAAGATTTTATTGTTATAATTTTTAATCTGTTGTGTAATTTTTATTTGATATTAATATTATGAAATTATTATTCCTATTTAATTTTAAATTACGTTGTTTTTATAATATAACACATGATTCTCAGATAATTAAGGATTTAGAGAGCATTAACCTAAATTTATTATTTCTTGATATTATCTCGCTTTTATGATGTTGTTGAGCCCTTTGATTTTCCTTCTTCTTTTAGCTCCTCTCTTTTATTTGCTGAAGGGAGAGGATAAAGTTTCTTTATAATTGTATTTATAATTATACCATCAATGACTATATTTTATATTTAACTATCATCACATTATATCATTAATTAGAGTCATGTTATAAGTTACATAGACCACTATAATAAGTATTAAAATAATCTAACAATCTTTCAGTTAGCTTATGTGATGACTTGAAGATTCAATGAATTATAAGTGCACATATCACTGATAATATTAAGTCATCATCTTTTAATAATTTGAATTGATCGGATCATGGTGGTCACAAGTCATTTAATGATATGATTTCTTCAAAGTATCACAGAACCAACTCAAATCAAAATAGCTTTAATCAGATATACTACAGACTGCAACTTTGATGTGTTTTTAACACTCAACATGTTATCAAACTCAAACTAGAGATGTATATTAACACAATTCAGATAACAAGTAAACAAAAAGAAATAATACTTTTATTGAATTTTCAAAAATGTCTATAATAATATGAGCAAAATAATCTATACACATATGTGTGAATCACACAATTATGCTAACAAGGACTTGTCTATAATGTCCATTCTTCCAACATGGCCAGAAAATGTTCTAAGGGGCAATCCCTTAGTTAGCAGATCCGCTATCATTAAATCAGTACCAATATGCTCAATAAGCACTTTCTGTTTTTGCACTTCTTCTTTCACTGATAAGTATTTTAAGTCTATATGTTTTACTCCCTTTAAATACTTATCATTCTTAAAGAAAAAAATAACTGCAGAATTATCACAGTACATTCTTAATAGCTTTTCTATACTGTCAACAATACAAGCCCTAAGACAAAGTTCTGCAGCCACAAAGCATGAATAGTGGCCTTAAAGCATGCCACAAATTCCGCTTCCATGGTAGACATAGCAATAATGAACTTCTTTTTGCTTTTTCATAAAATCGCACCTCCAGCCAAAAAGAAGATGTAGCCAAAGGTCAATTTCCTTTAGTTTACACATCCAACATAGTCTGAATACGGGCAGCTAACCACTTCTAGGTGACTAGATCTCTTATAAGTAAACATGTAGTCCTTAGTGCCTTGTAAATACCTAAGGACTTTCTTTGCAACCTTCCAGTGGTCCATTCTAGGATTACTATGATATCAGCCTAACATTCCAACAACAAAACTGATATCAGACTGAGTGTATATCTGAGCATACATTAAACTCCTAACCACTGATGCATAGGGAATAAATTCTATTGCTTTTTGTTCTAGCTCATTCTTAGGACATTGCATTTCACTAAACTTGTCTCTCTTTTGAATTGGAACTACCCCTGATGAGCACTTTTTAATTTTTAATCTCTCTAATACTTTGTTAATATAGCTTTTCTGAGATAATTTCAATAATCCTTGTGATCTATTACAGAATATTTTTATTCCAATCATATAGGAGGCCTCACCCATATCTTTCATCTCAAAGTTCTTAGAGAGAAACTCCTTTACATCATGTAACAACCCAACATCATTAGTAACAAGAAGAATGTCATCAACATATAGGACTAAAATTATGAACTTGCTCCCACTGACCTTCATATAGATACATCGGTCAACAGTGTTCTCTACAAAATCATATGATATGATGGTATCATTGAACTTAAGATACCATTGTTTGGAAGCTTGTTTCAACCCATATATTAATTTCTTTAACCTACACACAAAACTTTCTTTACCTATGGTCAAGAAGTCATCTAGTTGATCTATATAAACTTCTTCTTCCATGTTACCATTCAGAAAAGCGGTCTTTACATCCATTTGGTAGAGCTCTAAGTCATAATGAGTCAGTAAAGCCATAATAATTCTTAAAGAGTCCTCTGAGACTGGAAAAAATGTCTCTTTATAGTTTATATCATCCTTTTGAGTGTATCTTTTAGCAACAAGTCTAGCCTTGTGTCTCTTATTGTTGCCTTTTAAGTCATGTTTGGTCTAAAAGACCCACTTGCAACCGACCCGTTTTGAACCTTTAGGCAACTTGACTAGATCTCATACCTTATTGTCACTCATTGATTTTAATTCTTCTTTCATGACATTCAACCACTTTTCAGAATTGTAACATTTCATGACTTACTTAAATGAGACTGGATCTTCATCAATACTCAAGTCACATTCATGCTCAAGTGAGTAAACTACATAGTCATTCGAAATAGTAGATTTTTTCTGTCTTACACACCTCTTTAACATTATCTCTTGTGATTCACCTTCCTCTTGCTCATTTGTGACTTGCACATTGTTAGCTAATTCATCCTATATGTGTTGTTCTTGTGAGTTTGGAACATCACCTTATTGTCTCCTTATGTTGTGTGACCGTGATACAACAAGAGGGACAACAACTTGATAAGAGACACCAACTATAGGAGTTTTCGCATGTGTCTCTTTAATTTTTCACCTTTTACTACTCCCACTAAACTGACTATTTTCAATGAACCTTGCATTTCTACACTCCCACTCTCACTAACGGTTCTAGCATCAAGCTTATTTTCATGTAGATTGTACACTTTTATTTCTACTAGACAACCCCAGTCATGAAGATGTCTTAAATTAGGTTTCCTTCCTATTCATAATTCATAAGGAGTCTTTGGAACCGCCTTACTAGGAACTCAATTACATAGATACGCAGCGGTCTTTAATGCATACATCCACAAAGACATAGGTATAGAACTGTAACTCAACCTACTCCTAACTATTTTTATTTAATATGTATTTAATGATTAAATATTTAATTAACAACTACAAAAATACCATAATTTATAAAAGAAAATACTTCCCATAAAATACTTTATTATATTTGATAAGTCTGTAATTAGGCCCTTTTCTACGACTCATATATTTTTGTTTAGTCTTCATTTTAATTGAATTTTACACTAATTTATATGTTAAATGTAAGTATGAAGAGGCCACAAGTGAATTTTTGGTGCATTTTAGGCCCAAATTAATGAAAGATCAGAGCTTCGCAATAGTCAGCATGCCCAAGCCCAATTATAAAGAGCTTTTAGGATTTTTAAACTTATAAAAGAGATACCTCAGATATCTTGGGAGACACCGTTTATATCTTGTCTTTCACTCTTCGATACATCTATCATCTTGTCTCTCTTGCACGAGATTGTTGGCATATTCTTAATGAGACTTGGAGCTTCAGGCGACCGTACTTGAAGACCAAAAAATCATCTCTTTCTAGTTTATTTTTCTCTATGGCTTTGTTTATGATTATTTTAGTTCTTCTCTTTAGCATGAGTAACTAACTCCATAACTAGGGCTATGAAAACTATTGTTCATGAATTTATGGGATTTTAAAGTTTGAATCTATATTTAGTTTTCGTTCATGATTAACTTTTATCCTATTGCGCATAATTATAATCCTAATTAATTATATCATCAGGCGATCGTACCTCGATTAGTTAATAGATTTATAGGATAAAACGAGATACAGGATTAGGTGGACCAAACCAATATTTCTCCTCAATCGTTTTAAATTAACAAGTTCATATGTGCTTTATGTTTTCTTTAATTGATGTCTTGCATAATCATTGGAGATATTAATTGAAAGAAAAGAATATTAGTATTGCATGATTATTGGGTATTAATAGTATTTATATGAATGAATGGTGATCACAAGGAAATCAAATTTAGAGTAAAATGGAAAGTTCTTAGAAATAAGCTTTGACACATCCAAGATAAAAATACAACTTCAACAACTTACTAATCTTCTGAGTCAAAAAGCGTTGGCAACATTATCAACTCAACCAGAACGTAATTTGATGGAGCAATACAATGCCATCATCCTTAGAAATGGAAAGAAGCTGCAAGAATTGTATAGCAGAACTGCAAGCACGTCCGTGCTTATTAAGAAGCACAACTATGACTTAAAGGAAGCACATTCGTGCTTCGTTGATATGCACAACAATGCTGACATCGGAGAAACAAAACATGAAAAAAAAAAGGGCCATCTACGACGCCCAGGTCTCAAGAACTTCAAATCCCTTTTCTGCAGAAGCTGAGGAGTAATCAAAGAGACTCACAATTCAACAAATTTCTCGAAATACTAAAAAAGTTGCACATCAATATACCCTTTGTGCAAGCTATATCTCAAATGCCCAAATACACCAAGTTTCTCAAGGAGATATTGAGCAATAAGAAGAGGCTAGAGGAATTCGAAAGTGTAATGCTTAATGAGGAATGTTCCGTAATCCTTTTGAAAAAACTACCCTCAAAACTCAAAGACCCAATGAGTTTTACTATTCCTTATACTATAGGTAGCTCTCATTTTGATAAAGTCCTCTGTAATCTAGGGGTTAGTATAAATCTAATGTCTCTTTCTATTTTTAAAAGGTTGGGTCATCCACTTTTGTTTCTTTGCAGTTAGCAGATCGATCTATCACTTATCCCGAAGAAATAGTGAAAAATGTGTTTGTAAAGGTTGGAGAACTCTTATTTCCTGCAGATTTTGTGGTGCTTGACATGGAGGAGAATGGTGATATTCCCATCATCCTAGGTAGATTGTTCTTAGCCATTGCTAGAGCCCTTATAGATGTTCAAAAAGGAGAGCTCGAGTAGAGGATGAGGAAGTTGTTTTTCAAGTTTTTAATTCTCTAAAGTACCCTTTTAGCCAAGAATCCTGCAACTTTGTGAGCACTGTGAATGTTGCTTCTCCTCCTCCAATTTATTTGAAGAATAGAACCCTAAGAAGAAGGCTAAGGAGGAAGCAATCTAAGAAGAAGAAAAGACAAAAGCTCAAACAATCCATTAATAAGCCTCCTGATTTAGAGCTTAAATTTCCTTCTCTTTTTTTAATCTTCATCATATGAATAATTTTTTTTATGTAATAGGTGTTGGGGAGGTGAAGTTGTTAGGAAGATAATTACGTACCAAGGAAGTTACCTCTAAAACTCATGTCTTCTTCCCACCGTGATTTAACAAGAACATCAGGCTCGTGATGTTAAACAAGCGCTCCTAGGAGGCAACCTGTATCTTTTATTTTATTTTATTTTATTTAAATTTTATTTCTTTTTGTTTATTTTAATTTGCTATTATTATTTATTTTTAGGATGAAGAATAAGATATTAGAAGCTTGAAGGAGCTGAGTTGATTTTTCCTGTGCATAATTTTGAGCTCTGAATAACAAGTACGCCCGTGCTACATGTATACATGGTTGTGCATGATGACGCAGTTGAGCAAGAAAGCTCCATATTATAAGCATGGGCATGCATATGATTTTAGCATGGTCATGCTTCCTCACTAGAAGACGTCGCGCCCAAACTTATCAGGAAATCTTTTTTTCTTTATGTTGTTTTAATTGTCCTTTCTGCATGCATTTAATTTTATTTTTTTTCAAACATTGAGGACAATGTTTTGCTTTAAGTATGAGAGAGTGGTTCTCAATTATATGATTTTTATTGCATGTTCTTAAGTAAAGTGTTCGTGATATTTTTTATGATAATTTGAAACTTTTTCTCTTAAGGAGCACAATTTTTCCAAATAGAATAGCATGTTGAGTGATTATTATTGGCATTATATTTGAAAACTAATAATTAGCTAAGGTCCTTATTTTTCTGCTCTACTTTAAACTTTAACCCACAAATGTGAGTTTTTGAGCCTTAAAAGGGATTTTTATCCTAATTTAATTAATTGTACCCCTTTCCTCATTGTGTTGTGTGATTATCTCCTTAGGATTTGTGCTTTAGAACTTGACTTGTAATCGACTTGAGACTAAACTTTTTTTAATTGCATTAATGTGATTGAGGCATAATAGGATTTTTTTTATTCTTGACTTTCAACATGTTTGAGATATAACTAATTGTCCACTTTGAGCTTTATTGATTTTTTTTATCTCTTACATTAAATTTATAATATATTGTGATGACCTTGAGTTTATAAATGGAGCAATGGAGTTGTTGAATTGTTTGACAATTCTCCTCTATATCTCTCATGTGTAAAAAGAAAGAAAGTACGAAAAAAAAAGTTATATATGAATGAAAGGAGAGAGGAGTAAAAATATTGTTTGCATAAAAAAGAATATATATATATATATATATATATATATTACTCTCGAAGCTTCATTTATAAACTTAAGGGATACTTGTACTTTTTATAATTTATTATCTCTTTGTATACCCCTTCCTTTCATTTATCTCATCTCAATTATTATAACACTTGGCCACATTATAACCTGAAAAAGACTTTATGATTTTTACGTGCATTTAATTTATTTAATGGAAAGTCGATTTATAGTCAAGCTTATGGTAGTACATTTTTTTTGAAAAATTGAGTGATATCTTATTTTATCCTTAGTGAAAACAGAAAGTAGAGTAACTTAGTTTTATGTCTGAGTAAAAAGTATAGAAATATAAGAGTCTAATTAGGAGTCCTTTTGATTGTTTATACTCAGTTATATCACTCTTGTTACTCTTTTTATCTCCTTTATCTCAAGTTTCTTGTGTAGTATTATATTTCAAGTTATTTTGTTATTCTTTTAACCAGCATTTTGCTTGAGGACGACTCATATATTTATGTTTAGTCTTTATTTTAATTGAATTTTACACTAATTTATATGTTAAATGTGCAGTTTAGTACAAAGAGGTCACAAGTGATTTTTGGATGCATTTTAGGCCTAAATTAGTGAAAGATCAAAGCTTCGCAACAGTCAGCACGCCCAAGCTCAATTATAAAGAGCTTTTAAGGTTTTTAAACTCTATAAAAGAGATACCTCAGATATCTTAGAAGACGTCATTTACATCTTGTCTTTCACTCTTCGATATATCTTTTATCTTATCTCTCTTGCATGGGATCGTTCGTATACTCTTGATGGGACTTGGAGCTTCAGGCGACCGTACTTGAAGACTGAGAAATCATCTCTTTCTAGTTTGCTTTTCTCTATGGCTTTGTTTACGATTGTTTTAGTTCTTCTCTTTAGCATGAGTAACTAAGTTCATAACTAGGACAATGAGAACTATTGTTCATGAATTTATGAGATTTTAAAGTTTGAATCTATATTTAGTTTCTGTTCATGATTAGCTTTTATCTTATTGCGCATAATTATAATTCTAATTAATTATATCGTCAAGCGACCGTATATCAATTAGTTAATAGATCTATAGGATAAAACGAAACAAATGATTAAGCGGACCAAATCAATCTTTCTCTCCCAATCATTATTAAATTAACAAGTTCATATGTGTTTTATGCTTTCTTTAATTGATGTATTGCATGATCATTAGGGATATTAATTTGAAAAAAAGAATATTAGTATTGCATAATCATTAGATATTAATAGTATTTGTATGAATGATTGGTGATCACAAGGAAATCAAATTTAGAGTTAAACGAAAAAATAACATAAAGGATTGAATGAGAAAACTCATATGCCCTAAGTTCCTCTCTTATAAGTTTAACTAAGACGTGTGTTGTGTTATTTGCCTTTATTTATGATTAATTTTATAGTTAAATTCTAGTTCTTACTTAACTTTATATCTTTTAAGCTCAAACAATTGAATTAAGAAATTCTTGTTAATTAAAAATAATTTCTGTGAGACGATAACTTGAGAACTCTTTTTTAAAATCCTTTATTACTTTTTAACGGGTACATTTGCCCATGAACAACATTCTTTATATCTTTTCTACTTTTTTCCTCTTATTTTATTTAATAAAACAATTACTTCGTAAATTTTAAATAACATCTACAAAAATTTTATCAATTATAAAAAATAAATTACTACCCTTGTATGCACGAATAAATTATTTACATTATTTCTATATTATTTACCTTCTTCAAATTATTTTTTATAAAACTATAACAATTTTTAAACAATTAAAATAAATAATAAATAATTTAAATAAAATACTACCTTAAAATCTGAATTTCTACAAATTTTAAAACTTATAATAAATAAATATTTTTAAAAATATAAAATTAGAAATTGTATTAACTTCAATGTTTCTCAAATGTCTTTAGCTGTCAATCTTTTGATTTATATCACTCATCTTGACACGATGGATTAGTTCTTAATAAATTCTATTTTTGAAATATTTTTTAAATATGTATTATTAAAATAAAAAAAGTCAAAACTAAATGAAAAGGTAATTACTAATTAATTGTGTATTTTTATTATAACACAACATATCTAATATTTAATATATCATTTAAAAAAAAGAAGATCAACCACGATAAAATGACGTAACAAGAAAGATTAGATCCAGTAGCTTTTGATGGCTCACTAAAGAATTGTTCTTTCTCTGCTCAAACAAAACCACCATATTCTATAACAGTCCTTACGGTACATTCTATAAAGGCGACTGAAAACTATATTACTATACATTTCGGAATCATAAAATGTTATTGTCATATGCTTCAAGGACCGAACAATCCATAAATAAGTGGCAAAAATCATGAGAAAAATTACAGATCTTCAGCATCATGATAAATTTACAAAACTGTTGGTATGTACACAGAGAAAATAGATAACATGAGAAGAAGTGAGAAAGAGCTATCTAATTTGAACTAATGAGACTATAACTGTTACACCATCAAGCTTGCCACCACTATATCCCACATAGCCCACAGCCTGAGCTGTATCAGCAAAAGGGCTTCTTGTGAAAGTTGATCTTCCAACCTCTTGTGCCCTCATGGCCAACAAATCTGCTATTTCCTGCAAGTTACCCATACATGAAAGCATAAGCTGCCAAGAAATTTAGACTCCAGAAGAAAGAGTTTGATTAGCACATGGTGCACCAGATATTGACAACGATTTTGAAGAGATACGTTTCAACAGGGTATTTTACTATAGAATATAATTCTAAAACACTGCCTAAAAGGAAAAGATAATAAGTGAGTAAAAGGTTGTGCTGGATCTTATAGATGACTATTGAAATGTATTCTCTAATTTTTTTTTGTCAACAAGATTTCAAAAGAAGAGAAAGAACTTGTTGCTCGAAAATTTCAAAAGTCAAAAATAAAAATGAATTATTTATAAAGATTCTAAACCAATCTCATTTTGTATTCAGAATGAACTTTCGCATGTCACTTAACGTGACAAATCATTGTTGCGTTACTTAATTTTAATGTCTCAATGACTAATGTGATTGATAATTATTAATTCCAAATACTAAAATTTCAAATTTCAAATTTCAAATTTAGGAGATTTATTTGAAGGACATTTCATATTTTGAGGACTAAAGTGAATGTTTATTCTTTTATAAAGTGTTAAGAAGAAAATGCTTAAATAAAAAGGGAAAGATAGACAGGCCCAAAATATACCTGAGGTGTCAAGCTAGCTTGGAGTGATTTTGATATAATTGATGCTATTTCTTGCTCATACAGATTGTCAAAAAGGCCATTTGTGGCAGTTACTACCACATCACCATCATGTAGATCGATCATGTAATCCTGAAACACATTTTACTTGAATTGTTATCCTAATAAATCAAATATATCGAAACTAATGTTGTAGGTTTACAGAGATATGAATTAATTAGTAATATAAAATCCTCCTTTTCCACTTCTAAACTATTGAGCCTCACTATTCAAACGAAGCATACCCAAAAGCTCATGGCTACAGGAGAAAGTTGGATGAATAATGTTTTCAAATATTTATCATATCGGGTGAATATGACAAAATGCGGCAGGTTAGAGATAGATTACATACCTCAATGAGATCTGAGGGATCCTCACCTTTTACTATCTGAAATGGAAAATTGAATTCATGAAACATGGGAGTTGATTTTTTAAAGATGGAACCATCTCTTATAATGATAAATCCAGTGTTCCCAACATTGGCTGCATGGAGGACCTGCAAATAAATTGCTATAGGTAATTCATACTTGAAAAATGTACTATATGGGGTAGGTTTACATTTATACATTTCTGGTTTCTGAGCACATACAACCCAAAAGTAAATGCAATTGTCTGCAACCTGAGATTTAAGTGACCCAGAAACAGAATTAATCTGTGCTTTGGATAAAGTAATGGGATACTTGCACTAAATGTTTTTTCATATTACTTAAGTATAATATGTACAAACATAATAACATGCAAAACAATGATATGGGCCCCAAACCTGCAAATGAAACAGTCATTTCAAAAGCTTAAGGTGCAACAAAATAGGACAAAAATGCAGTCAGAACATAAGCTCCCCCCCCCCCCATCAAAAAAAGAAACTAAAGAAAAACCTCCAAAAAATTCCCAAGTGACCTACGTAGCTTTGGTCCTGACTCAAGGAAAGTAATAGATACTGATGGGCCTCGACAAAAAGGGCCTCCATTGAAGACCTACGAGCGGAGGAAGGGTAAGATAGGAAGTATTGGGAAGGAGACGGTGATACAGGAAGTTGTTATTTCAGTTAGTAATTAGTTTGTTAGATTTACTGCTATATATAGCAGATTGTAAAGAATAGCTGGCATTCATTTTTTCAATTGTAATTCTGGAACTCCATTAATTCAATAAAACTACTGCTGTTCGGATTCCATTCTTTCTCTGGATTCCCTACTTCTTCTCTTGGTTCTTTTTCGAGGTTCATTAATCCTACCTAGAAGAACCCTATCAATTGGTATCAGACGGTAACCTTCCAACCACGTTTTCGCCATGGCCGATAACACCCGCTCTGTCTGTGAAGATTTTGAAAGCTTCAAGGCTTCCATGGAGACGCGTTTTTTGGATATGGGAACGTCATTGGAGGCCCGATTCATGGATATTGGGGCTTCATTGAAGCACAGTCTTGAAGAGATGTTCCGTAACCGTGACACCCACGCTTTTTCTAGTAATGGTACTCAATCTCGCCCTTACTCTTGTCATACACGGTTGGCTCGGCTGGATTTTCCTCGCTTCAATGGTGATGGTGTGAAGCAATGGTTAATCCAATGTGAAACCTTCTTTTCCGTCGATGGTACACCGGAGGATTACAAGGTTCGGTTGGCAGTGGTTCATTTCGAAGGCAAGGCTCTGCAGTGGCACAGTGCCTATGTCAAGAACGTAGGTTTACCGAATCTTCCATCTTGGGATGAGTACACAAAGATCTTGATTGCTCGTTTTGGTGAAGTATGCGAAGATCTTATGGCTGAATTGATGAGATTAAGGCAAAAGAATTCTGTTCAGGATTATCATGAAGCTTTTGATCGATTAGTTTCTCAAGTGGAGCTCTCTGAAGCCAATCAATTGAGTTGTTTTTTGGGTGGATTGAAGCAGGATGTACAGATGATGGTAAGGATGTTCCAACCCACCTCTGTGATGAAAGCTTTTTCGTTGGCCAAGATGTATGAATCTGCAAACAACACTCATTACCAACCTAAACTATTTCCCAAACAAAATACACCACCATTATTACCTAATCCTCCCAAAAACCTGGAACTCAATCGACCAAAATTACAAGCTTCTAGAAGTTTAACCCCTGCCTATATGAATGAAAGGCGAGCTAAAGGTCTCTGCTACTTTTGTGATGAGCCATTCACTCCGGCTCATAGCCTGACTCACAAGAAATTACAGATTCATGTCTTGGAGTTAGATGAGGTCACTGATTCTGATGAAGAAACTCCAACCTCGACAGATATAGAGGAACCTTTAATTTCAGTTACTGCCTTGACTGGAGTTACTAACTTTAGAACTATGAGGGTCACTGGTCTATTCAAAAAGAGACCTCTACATATCTTAATTGACAGTGGAAGCACTCATAATTTCTTGGATGTTCACTTGGCTAAGAAATTAGGATGTCGGATTGTTAACATGGATCCTTTGAGTGTCACTGTGGCTGATGGTGCTAGGGTGCAAATCAACAGTATGGTCAAAGAATTTACTTGGATGCTGCATAATACATCCTTCAAATCTGACATGTTGCTGTTACCCTTGGGATGTTGTGACATGGTGCTTGGTATAGAATGGTTGATTACATTAGGGGATATCATTTGGAACTTTGAGAAGTTGACCATGGAGTTTGTTGTGCATGGTAGGAGGCTTGTCTTGAGGGGCACCACAGGTACAGGAATTAAGACAATCAGACAGCAGCGATTACATAAGTCCCTTTCAACTGGAGTTTAAGTCTCCCTGTTACAGGTGTGTGAGACAGGAGAAGGTGCTTTATTGCAATCTTTATCACCTCATGCTGATTCCATTACTGTTCCTGCCAGCATTGAGAAGTTGCTGCTGGATTTTCAAGATGTATTTCAAGAACCAACTACTCTTCCCCCTAAAAGAGCTGAGCATGATCATAAAATTCCGCTGGTTCAAGGCACAAATCCTGTGAATAGAAGGCCCTATAGATATGCAAAGCAACAAAAAGACATCATTGATGGAATCATATTGGAGTACTTGAAATCTGGCATCATTCAGAACAGTAGCAGCTCTTACTCTAGTCCAGTTGTTTTGGTTGGAAAAAAAGATGGTGGCTGGAGACTTTGTATAGATTACAGGGAATTGAATGAAGGGACAATAAAAAACAGGTTTCCTATTCCTCTAGTAGATGACCTGTTGGATGAGTTACATGGTTCCAAAATCTTTTCTAAAATTGATCTGCGGTCTGGGTACAATCAAGTTCGTATGGCTGAAGAGGATGTGCACAAGACAACTTTTAAGACTCACTCAGGGCATTATGAGTACTTGGTTATGCCCTTTGGACTGACAAATGCCCCTGCCACTTTTCAAGGGCTCATGAATGCTGTATTTCAGGAATTCTTAAGGAAATTTGTCTTGATATTTTTTGATGATATTTTAGTATATAGCACTTGTCTTGAGGATCATTTGAATCATTTATACCAAGTTCTGTCCACTATAAGAAACCATTCCCTATTTGCCAAGAAATCCAAGTGCTATTTTGGAGTTGGAAGGGTGGAGTATTTGGGGCATTTCATCACAACAGAAGGTGTTGCCACAGATCCTGCTAAGATAATGGCTGTGCAACAGTGGGCCTTACCTCGGTCTGTGAAGCAATTAAGAGGATTCTTGGGATTAGCGGGCTACTATAGACGATTTGTCAACCGATATAGCACCATAGCCAGACCATTGCATGACATGCTCAAGAAGGATGGATTTTCTTGGACAGAGGAAGCTAAGTGTGCTTTTCAGGAATTAAAAACTCAATTGAGCAAAGCACCAATTCTGGCCTTACCTAATTTTTCTAAGGAGTTTGTGCTTGAGGTAGATGCATCTGGACAAGGAGTTGGAGCTGTTTTAATGCAGGATCGTCATCCCATAGCCTACATTAGTAGGAGCTTTAATCAGCAGCAGCAAGCACTTTCAACCTATGAAAAGGAACTGCTAGGAGTTGTGTTTGCAGTCCAGAAATGGAGGCACTACTTACTGCCTAAGAAGTTCACTATAAGGACCGATCATCAAAGCTTAAAGTACATCTTGGATCAAAGGTTGTCTACAGCATTCCAGCAGAAATGGCTAATTAAACTGATGGAGTTTGATTTCAATATTGAATACAAACAAGGGCGTGAGAATGTAGCTGCTGATGCATTATCAAGGATACAGTATTCAGCTCTATTAGTTCATCAACCTACTTCTGAACTACTGAATACAATTAAAAACACTTGGCAAACTGATGAAGATTTACAAAGAATCATCAATGAGTTGCAGGCTGACAGTGCTACTCATAGACATTTTTCTTGGCAGAGGGGAGAGCTGAGAAGGAAAGGGAGATTGGTAGTTGGTAAAGACCAAGAAGTAAGAAAACAGATTCTGGTATGGTTACATGCTACTGCTTGTGGAGGACATTCTGGCAGAGATTCTACTCTTCACAGGGTAAAATCAGTAGTATATTGGAAGGGTATGACTAAGGATGTTAGGAGATTTGTACAACAATGCCAAGTGTGCCAGCGAAACAAGTATGATACTACTGCATCACCTGGTTTGCTGCAACCATTACCAGTTCCAGACCACATATGGCAGCATATTACCATGGATTTTATAGAGGGATTACCTAACTCTTTTGGTAAGCAAGTCATCTTTGTAGTAGTTGATTTATTGAGCAAAGCAGCCCACTTTATGGCCTTACAACACCCTTACACAGCTGCAACAGTAGCCCAATGCTTCTTGGATAATGTTTTCAAACTACATGGGTTTCCTGCTACCATTACAAGTGACAGAGATTCTGTGTTTGTAAGCCAATTTTGGAAGGAGTTTATGGCATTTTAAGGTGTTCAAATCCAGCTTTCTACTGCTTACCATCCTCAAACAGATGGTCAAACAGAAGTAGTTAACAGATGTGTTGAAACATACCTGAGGTGTATGTGCTGTGATGAACCTAAACAGTGGTCCAAATGGCTTCCTTTGGCTGAATGGTGGTATAATATCACATATCACAGTTCTATAAAGACTAGTCCCTATGAAATTGTGTATGGACAGACTCCTCCTACTTATTTACCATATCTTCCAGGTGAGTCTAAGGTGGAGTTAGTGGATAGAAGTTTACAGAAGAGAGAGGAAATGCTTAAGCTGGCCAAGTTTCATATGAAAAGAGCACAAGAGAGGATGAAACAGTTGGCAGATAAACATAGATCAGAAAGGGAATTTCAGATTGGCGATTTGGTCTTTGTCAAGCTTCATCCATATAGACAAATTTCTGTAGCATTTAGAAGTACTGCAAAGCTGGCTCCTAAATACTATGGACCTTATCCAGTCCTTGAAAAGATTGGTGCTGTGGCTTATAGAGTGCAATTACCAGCTAATTCCTTGATACATAATGTCTTTCATGTTTCACAACTGAAGAAATCAGTGGGGGAAGCAAACACTTCAGCAGATTGTCCAATATTAGAAGAAGAAGCTGTTATCAAGGAACCTGAGACCATCATTGACAGAACTACTGTGAAGAGGGGCAACAAGGCTGTCACTAAAGTGCTGGTCAAGTGGAAGCATCAGCTGCCTGAAGATGCTACTTGGGAGTTTTATTATGACTTAAAGAAGAAGTTTCCAAACTTCAGTCCTTGAGGACAAGGACTTGCTTAAGGGGAAAGGATTGATACAGGAAGTTGTTATTTCAGTTAGTAATTAGTTTGTTAGATTTACTGCTATATATAGCAGATTGTAAAGAATAGCTGGCATTCATTTTTTCAATTGTAATTCTGGAACTCCATTAATTCAATAAAACTACTGCTGTTCGGATTCCATTCTTTCTCTGGATCCCCTACTTCTTCTCTTGATTCTTTTTCGAGGTTCATTAATCCTACCTAGAAGAACCCTATCAGACGGTTATGCAGGATCATAACAAATTGCATGACAAACTGCATATATGGCAAGAGGAGAGAGAAGAGAAAGATACCGGAATAAGGCCAGGGGAAGACATATTTGAAGGGAGGGAAGGGGGAGAGGGAATAAGGAATCATTTGAGTAATCTGGGGGTGGCTGTTGCCAGTAGACACCAATTTTTGGCTCTTTACTTGTAACCCAGAGTCAGTCCCCTGAATTTGCTTTCATTCAATAACAAAGAGCAGTACCTATCAGATACCTACATAAACAAGGTCATCGATTGGATTGAAGAACTTTTAAAGAGATTCAAAACCAAGTTAAAGATTCCATTGGACTAAGTGGCCAATTTACGAATTTGCCATAATCAACATTTCTGCGAATTAGTAGAAATAGCATTATCAATTGAACTAATAACTCACAATTCACTAAATATTGTACTACCATCCTTCATTTGAGCTAACCCCACTTATCCACTTAGCAAAAACATTTAGTCATTTACCTGTCCGTCAAAATGAGCAACCAAAACAGCAGATGATCCTGGAGATTGTGTATCGGCAGCACTTCTGATGATAACTTCTGCAGGTTTTATAGCAGAAATGTTTTCATAATTTGACACAATATTTTCACATTTTTCCATAAGTTCCCTGATATAAGGTCCAGCATTGCTCCCTGCATAATTTTCTCAGGTGTATAAGTACAGATTAAAACCGAAAAAGACTATAAATCAACTCAATTGGCAAGCTATGAGAAGAGTGTGAGGCAATGGATGATGAGTACATTTTGTTCAGTCCTAACATAAGAAGATAATAAATCCAGGTTCATAATTTATAAAAGGGAGAATAAACATAATTTCAAGAAATGACATTATGTGATTAAATTGGACTGTTGGTGGTTAGTAATAAGCTAACATCCTATATAGAAATTCTGTACCAGAAGACTGCACTTCTTAAGCAGACACACAGAAGGAGTAAGAATGAAGGTGCTGCAGTCTTCATGGATTTCCAAATATTGTAGAAAGGATACCTTCAAGTGACCACTGAGCAACTCCATCAGCCACAGCAAGCCAATTTTGGTTAGAAATTAAATAAGCATCCTCTCGACCTGTCAATGCCTGAAACATGTTATTAGTTGGCTTATTATCATATGTTATTCAGGAGTCAAACCAAACATCACTTAAAATGTAATGCATATGTTCATGATTATAATATACATGCAATAAACATGTCAAATTCTAGGCTAGAAAAGATTTGCACCTTGTTAGTCAAATACTTAAATAGCTAACTAGATCTGAGCAAATTATGCATTTGAGAGCTCCAACATCTAACAACTCGGAAGCCATATCCCGCAGACCAAAAATTCAAGTTTGCCACTCCCCTTCAAGTGTCATGTCCAATACAATTTAACCATTTTCATTTTCTTCTATCTACTGGATATACTCCAGAACTCTCAGATTTATGCATTTATTTATTTGTAACTATCTTTCCATAAAATTGGGTATAACTATCCTCACTTACATCAAACACAATGACGATACCAAAACAAAAACAAGAATGATCAGAATAATGACTGTTTTAAAAGAAAAAATTTATCAAAAAGAAAAGGTTGAAGCAATCAGAAATTTGCAACAGCGATTGATTATTAACCCAGGAGCAAACTAGTATTATAGCCTGGCAAAAATTTAGGGGTCATTTGGTTTGAAATTTTTTTTTTCTACTTTCATTACTGTTTCACTTTAAATTACAAAAATGCGACTTTGTTTTCATTTTGTTTTCTATTTACAAATATTTGTATAGAGAAGGTGAAGACAACTTTTATTATTTTCATTATTTCCTATATAAAAGTTTTAAAACAAGAAATAAAACAAAAGTTAAGTGACATATTTTTAATAAAAAGTGAAAACAGAAAATAAAAACAAAAAATTTCTAGAAAAACCAAACAGCCCCTAAGAAAATATAACTTAAATCATTCATTTTTTTCCCCAAATTTTGATTTATCTAGCATAATAAAATCCCAACACTCTGCCATTTGTAAGTTTAACATGCTTCATTTTCATCCCTATTGACTGAGCATATCGAGTCAAGATATTGATGTATGGAAGTTACCTTAGAGGGATGAGGCAAGCAAGCAGCACCAGAAACTAAGAAAAGCTCTGTTCCTGAAGATGTTTCCCTGATACATGTAAGTAATCAGCACAAAGAACCATGAAACAGGTGTCAATTTCCAAATTTCAAGAAGTTTGTCAAGCATCAATCCTAGATACTAGCATCTACAATGGTTTTGCTGCATTTTTTTTTTTTTCCTTTTGCTTCAGTAGAATAAAATGACCATATGGAACTATTGGGTTTCATTCTTCACTAACAGAAATGCATTACTTGAACCATATACCACTTATATAACACTTATCATCAAATTCAGTAACTAGATCATGCTCAGAAACGTTCCTTTTGAAGCAAAAGGGAGAAAGTTTTCACGGGTGGGAACACAATTCACTAATCATTGCTGAAGACCACGAAAAAAAAGAGTGAAAATAATTTAGAATACAGAAAAAAGAGAAGATAGTTGATATACCCATGACTATCCATCTCAACTGATTGTATTTGTGGCACAGTAGGATGTGATGTCCTTTCATAATCATTTCTTTCAGTATTGCCAGTATCTATGTCATTTTCCAAATCTGAGGATGGAACCAAGTCATGTAACTAAACACAAAATTAACACAGAAATAATATTAGAAACCATACCATTTGAATTCAGTAAAAAGCAATTCTTGAAGGGATGCTTTATCACTTTAAGGTCAATAAGGTTGGATACCTAAATGTATGCAAACAAACCCATTTGTAAGGAAAGGAATAAGACTAACCATTTCTGACTTTCCCATTTTACTTGCATCAATTGGGTGATCCACGATGAGGCCAGTTGTTTCTTCATCATTAGCAACTTTTTCTGACTCTATAGAAGTGGATACTGGCATGAGTTCACTTAATTCAGCATCAACAGCAACATTCAGGTCATTCGTTGCACTATAACCAACTTGTTCAGACTCTATAGAAGTGGATTCCGGCACCAACTCCCTTAAGTCAGCATCAACACCACCAGTCAGGTCATTCATTCCACCACTATAACCAACTTGTTCAGACTCTAAAGAAGTGGATTCTGGCATCAACTCCCTTAAGTCAGCATCAACACCACCAGTCAGGTTGTCTATTGCTCTATCTACACCATAACCTTGGTCAGCTGTAGAGAGATGAGCAACTTCAATGTTAGCCTTCTACCTGACAGACAGAACAATAACTATTAAAAACTTCAATGGATAATGTTGATTAAGAAGACGCTAATAAGACACAATATCACCTTCTTCTTCCTCTTCAGCTTCCCCAGAATCACTATTCTGATCAGAAAACACATCAGGCTCTGAAGAAACCGTTGAAACAACAACTTCTTCGTGATTATCAACTTCAGAATCTTCATCAACCGCACTCAATACACCATTACACTCAGCATCAACATCTTCCTTTAAAATTTCATGTTGATCATCACCATCCTCTACTGAATCCAACTTGGAATATCCATCGATATTTTGTGAATCATCGATCACAGGTGTCTCTGAGTCATTATCAGAAACAACACTCTCCTTTTCATTTACAGGAAGCTGAGAATTTCGATCAGCAACACCAACTACTAGATTTGAAGAAGATTCAGCTTCCTCCCCCAAATTATGATCAACCTCAACGTTCTTTTCAACACCTTCATCCAACAGAGTTCTAACACCAGCCTTGCCTCCTTCCTCAACACCCTCACGGGTGAGTTTCTCTTTGCCTAATTCATCTATCCTTTCTCTAATCTCGCTGGCATTGCCGAATCGGAATACAAAACTACCATCGGAACACTCTGCCAGAAAAACCAGAAGCTCAAGCAGTAATTGGACAGTTCAGAAATATCAACCAAAAAAAATATCCCACTAACCAAAATGGAAAATTAACACAAACCCAAGAAATAAAATTGAATCAAGTTGGAAATTTTGGGAGTTAAGGCAGATACCAGTTGACGAGAGAATATCAAAATCTTCAGGAACAGGGTTTGAGGGTGAAGTGGCATTGGGAAGCATGTGGGTATGGTGGGTGAAGCTCACCCATCGTTTGGGAAGAGGAATTGGAGCAGAAATTCGAATCCTTCCCGAAGGTTTTAGCGGAAAATTGCCGCATGGAAGCCAAAAACAATGGAAGCTTCTGCAGAAGAGATCAGCCATCTCATCAAGTTTTTATTTTTTATTTTATTATTTTTTTAGTTTTTAGTTATTTTATTAATTGTTTTTCAAGTTTGAAGTTTGTATTAAGGCATGAATAAGTTTGTTGCTGGGTTTTTGAGACTGCAGTGCGAAGACGAGGGTGAAGGAAAGGGACACGTGGATAACAGACACAAACACAGGAATTCCCGAATGCTCTCCACCTTACATGGATTGATATGATTATGCTGTGTATTTCCAAAACAATTTTAAAAAAATCCAACTAATTTTGTAAAGAAGTAAAACATGGATCTAGTAAGGTAAATGTGAATCGTTGCCTCAAGTGCAATGTACTAGTTTTTTTTTTTTAATGTAATAATATTTTTAAAAATTTTTAATACAGTTCTAAAATATTTTTTAATATTTAATATTTATTAATTTATTAATTAATACTTAATCTTATGTTTGCATCAATGAAAATAAAATAGAAAAAATATCATCATTGTAAAAATATTTATATTGTCCACTAATTAAAATATTGTATCTAATTTTTAATTAAGTAATAAAAATTAATATTTTTATTAATATAATAATATATAACTGAATCACAATGTAAAAAGAATTTCACTTCAATACTTTTTAATTAAATTATATATTTTTACCAAGCAATATTTATGTTCTGATTCAAATTCATTCAATGGATAATTTTTCTCCTCCTCATTAATATTTTTTTGTCAAATACTGATCAAGTCTAAATTTAATTGTCATCCACAGGTAATAGTTCTTTCAATTGAAATGTACTCAGTTACTAAACCTAACTAATACTTCTCTCTATCCTTAGACATTTGAATTTTTAAAATTTTTCTTGAGAATTGTATTCACTTCTTTGCTTGTAGTTACATAGATGAGATGCATTTGAAAAGGCGAATATAGCATGATAATGTGAGGTGAAGAAGCACGTCTATGCTCATCAATATCTTGCCTCAATAAGACGGTTTTGTTGGGATCTGCTTGTGTTCCAAATTATTTATCTTTGAAAACATGGACAACAGCAAAAGATAGAAAGACCAAAGTGGAGTGGAATAGGTGGGTGAGTTGTCCACGTGGCTTGAAACAACATGGGATGAGGATGGAGATCTTGTTCCCATTGGTCCGAAATCTATCCACGATTGCTTCAGATTTCTTCTACAGATTTCATTGTCCTACTTGGCCTTCTAATAGACCCCCTAAGATTTTCTCTCACTTCACATCCACTCACTCATAAAATCACTCCAAGTGGTGCATTTGCCAAGTAATCTTGAAAAGCAGCACTTGTTTTCTCACTCTCTCCAGCGAGCTTTATAGAAGGGAAAGAGAGATGGCAGCTGCAACATCTGGTGCTGTTTTAAATGGATTGGGATCTTCATTCTTCTGTGGAGGGAAAAGGAGCCAAACCCTTCTGGCCACTGCCATTGGAGGCAAAGTTGGTGGTGCTGTTACCCCAAGAAGATTCATTGTTGCAGCTGCAGCTGCACCAAAGAAGTCATGGCTCCCTGGTGTTAGAGGTGGTGGGAATTTCGTTGACCCAGAATGGCTTGATGGATCGTGAGTTCACCCAGATACTAAATTTCTCTCTTTTTCACTTGTTTCTCTTCAGAATTTTGACTTATTACTACATGTACAACAATGTTTCAATGGCAGGCTACCGGGTGACTATGGTTTTGACCCTCTAGGCCTTGGTAAGGACCCAGCATTTCTCAAATGGTACAGAGAAGCTGAGCTGATTCATGGAAGGTGGGCAATGGCTGCAGTTGTTGGCATATTTGTGGGGCAGGCATGGAGTGGAATTCCATGGTTTGAGGCTGGAGCTGATCCCAGTGCTATTGCTCCTTTCTCCTTTGGTACTCTTTTGGGAACACAGTTGCTTCTCATGGGGTGGGTTGAGAGCAAGAGATGGGTGGATTTCTTCAATCCAGACTCACAGTCAGTGGAGTGGGCCACTCCATGGTCAAGAACTGCTGAGAACTTTGCAAATGCCACAGGTGATCAAGGCTACCCAGGAGGCAAATTCTTTGACCCCTTGGGCTTGGCTGGAACCATCAAGGATGGGGTTTACATTCCTGATAGAGACAAGCTAGAAAGATTGAAATTGGCTGAGATTAAGCATGCCAGGATTGCTATGTTGGCTATGCTCATTTTCTACTTTGAGGCTGGACAAGGGAAGACCCCCCTTGGTGCTCTTGGCTTGTAAATTAAACCAATTCATGTAGATAATTGAATTGAGAGGCTAGACAGTTGCAAATCAACCTTTGTTTTTTGTTTTTTGTTTTTTTTTTTTTTGTGTGTGTGTGTGTGTGTTACCCCATGACAAATTCAAATTCTATGCACTAATATTGGATGCCTTCTTGTGTCTGTATTGTAATGTAACCATCGTATAAATACTTTCATTTACTTTTCCTTCCCAAACCACCCGTAGTGAAAGTGATACAGGAGACTTGAAAATGAAAAAAATGCGTTTACCCATGTACGTGTAGCCAATTCATACACACTGTTTTAAATATCTTCGTCATATGTAATAGAGTAAAACTGAATGCATAGATTAGATTGACACCAATAAGTACTGTGGAAACAAATCTGGATAAGAGAACATACGGATAGGTGCAAACGGGTTCATCGATCAAAGATTATCTCGCACTAAATAACCAAAGCAAAGCCATATAGAACAAATGTTTAGATAGATTTCATTGAAAAGGCATACATTAAATGTTCACATTGTTGTGCATTCGAAAGCAGAACATTTAATTAAAAGATGAAACAAAATCAACTCTATTCCAGTTTGGAAGGAAGGAATATGTCTACTTATTAACTCCCCATAGCCATCAAAAATTCACCCTCACACACAACATCACCTCCAACAAATGCCTTCCCTTCCATCTTTGCTATTCCAAATCGCTTTTGCAGCTTAGTAAGTGTCATTCTCATAACCAAGGTGTCTCCTGCAATTACAGGCTTACGAAACCGCACTTTATCTATTCCAGCAAAGAAGAAGTTTTCACGAGAACCTCCTACTTCCGGTTGCAACATGACCAAACCACCAACTTGTGCCATTGCCTGCAGCAAAAGACATTTATGTCCACTTTTAAATCAGATTATTACAACACAAATCATACAAGACTTTTCCCCCCTATTCTTTACTTGCATAGATTCCAGATTGACATAGTTCCTGGCCAAATGAAACTTATACAAAGGTTTTTTGGCATACTTACAGCTAATTTAGAAAGTTAGAAACAACAATTGTTCATTTCAATACAAAAGGTCTTTTAGAAGTTGGAACCTAAGCAGTACAGTTCAGTGAATGTAAACAAGCCTGACCATCTAACAAGTAATCATAAGTAATTGTATGCTGATCCAATCAAGATGAAAGAAGATACAAATACCAGTTTTATATACAAGGGTCCAGGTTAGATAAACTTCTGAACAAACACAAGAAATAAAAAATAAAAATAAAAATAAAATAAGGAGGTAAAATAAAAAAAAACTTCTCTCACAAGTTAAAATCAACATAGATGCCTCGAGTTTTGAAGAATACAAATGAGAGAGCTTCCAAAAATGTAGAGGTGCAAAAGTTGATTTCAACTTATGAGAGAAGTTTGATTCATTTACTTCCTAATTTTCTTCTCCTGAAAAGTTTATCCAAACTGAACCTATATTTGGGCTCTTGCAGATGTTCTTATCAGTTATCACATTTACAATGGCAAAATCTAAGCTAGACAGTAGACAGCACATCTAGGGACAAACTGTCATTTGAATATAATGCACTCAACCCAGCAAAATGCATGCATATTAGTATTTAGTACTACAATTAAATTTCATTTCCTATTAAAGTAAGAACTGCAGATGCCATAGAGGAGATGTCTATGTTTAACTCAATAGGTAGATATGTCTAAGCTACATATATGATCTTGATCAGGTAGATATTAGTTATTGACAAGTATCAGAATCTAGCATGGAACCATGGAGGAACATGCTCCTTTACAAAAGAAGAGCTAAAAGTATTGCTACCTAAAACTACTACTTGAAAAAAAAAGATCCATGCAAACATTCAAAAGCTATGAAAACAGGCCAGGAAGGATCATGTTCTACACATGGCCCCAACAACATTATTTATGAACAATTAATACATATATACAGCACCTGTGTACTTGACAGCTCTGGCTAAAAACAGGAGTCGGGGAGCATGCCAAACATGTAAACCAAGTCAAGAATTTTTCACTTACAAATCCCAATTAGAACTCATGGTCCAAGAACTACAAGATCATTTAAAAATTCCTATCCCATGTGACTACAAATATTTCTCCTCTAGTTCAAGCCTTTTTTTACCCTTTGTCGGTTGACACAAAGCATGCATAATAAAGAAGTTCATTCTTTTAGCGCATTTTCAATTTATGACAAAATATGTAATAAAGAGAATACATATAGGAAAAAACTTACATTTACCATATCCAGTACTACAAGCATGACTACACTGGCAAGGAGACATATATGGTAACAGTGAGATTATAATAATAACATTGTTTCTTTTTGTAGAAGAAAACAGTAAAATTTACAGCTTCATACAGCAAGCAAGAAGGTATTAAATGATGAAAGACATTGACTGCAACTTCTTCAAATTTATCACAAATTATCATTCATGTTTAGGCAAATTAATAGGCTCTCTCATTTGCTGCTACTGTTAGACCTCTTTAACAGATGGTGCACTTTTTAATTTGCACATTGGTCTAGTTGGATAAACTTCTCAATAAGGACTTATAGGAGTCAAATAGTAAGTAGTAAAATGAATTAAACTCCTCCCATAAATTAAAAATAACTTATGCTTCTCTATTTGTTAAAAAGTTATCGCATTTTACTTCTCGGAATCTTGAAGAGTATAAATTTTCATTTAACTTATGAAAAAAATCTTATTCATTTTTTGTATTAACTATTTTTTTCCTATAAGTACTTCTCTAGAAGTTAATCCAAATTGGATTATTGTCACTGCAAGCAATCACACCAGCATGAATCAATTAAGAGAGGTTTACTAGAACTAAGTTAATTTAATCTACTCTGTCAGTTGCCTGATATGATTATGCTTAAATTTTTTTAAAGAATCTCCACTCCAGCTGCAAATAAACAAGCTTCACAAACATAAAAGAGTCTAGGATAATTGCAACCATGACACTTCATGGTTTAAACAAATGGATATATTCAAGCAAAGCAATATATATGGACGATATATCACAACCTTTATACAACTAAATTAAAGTCTAGACATTGTAACAAATGGATATTCCATTTTGTTTGATCCAATAAACAGCTAACCACAGTGAAAAAACACAAGAATTATCATCCCATGTTTACAGAGAAGACAAGGGCAACATAATAAATAAGGAAGAGGGATAAGAAAAAGGTAAAGTTCAGTACCTCAACCATTAGAACACCAGGCATGATTGGCCTTTCTGGAAAATGTCCAGGGAAGAAGTTGTCATTAATTGTGACGTTCTTTATGGCCACTGCAGAAACTCCGGGGTTGTATTCAATCACTCTATCTACCAGAAGAAAAGGAAACCTGAAAGAAGAAACGGTGAATGAGAATTATTAATAAAAAAAATTACAAAATGAGAAATTTTTGGAGTACCTGTGGGGCAAAATCTCACGAATCTGATTAATATCCATCACGGTTGGGAATGCAGGATACCCTGCAAAAACAAAACGTGCAATGCAATGTAATTGCTTATAAAAAAAGAGAAGCACTGAAAAAAGGAATCAAAAGGACAAAAGCAAAAGGCATACTCAATTCAATGGGGGTATCTCCTTGAGGAGCATTAGCAGCATCAGAGGAACAAAAGGTGGTGAGTGATCTCGTTTTCCTCAATGGAGGAATGGGATGGGATCTGGTGTTGGGGCATTTGAGGAGTGAAAAATTGGGTTGAGAGGAAATGGGTTTGGAAGGAGGAGAGAAGGGAGAAAGCAAAGCGTTGGAGAGAGCAGAGGCTGCCATTGGAGCTTTGAAGTGTGAAGGAAAAGCCCCACAACACAGCTTGCTATAGTAAATGTAATCCTAACTGAGAGAGAGTACTGTGTTGTGTATGTGTGTACGCTGATTAATGCTAAATGAAAGGCGACATAAACAAGGAAGTGTGAAGTTAAAGGCTGCAATTGCGAAGTGCAAATTGCTACTTTTTCAGTTTCAGTTAGGGCGGAGCCTCCCACGTTGTCTGTTTTTCATCGTTAGATAAAAACACTCACTATGTTAGGTACTATTGCAATCCAACCCAAATCTCACTCTGCTGGGCTTGGATCTCTTCCAAGCCCATTAAAAACTTAACACTTCTTTTATTAATTTTTATTGGCCCAAAAATATTAGCCCATTTTTTAACTTCAGTAAATCTTTAAATGATGTATAATTGAGAATATTTTTTGTAATATAAAATTTTAAAATATTTATCGAATGTAAAAAAAGTTGTCGAGATTATAAAAAATATGTATAATTAATTTAAAATAAAATTTGGAAAAATGAAAAAGCATATTTCATTGTTTAGAAGAGAATATATATATATATATATATATATATGAAAAAATTAAGTCACTCTTAAAAGAATATACTTTGATATAAATTGATAAGATTCAGGAGAAAAATGTTAATATGAACAATTAAAACTGATTAATTTGAAAATATAGGAATTTAGAGATATGAAGATATTTTCAACATACAAAAAATTACAAGTAACTAATGTGAATTTTTTAAATATATAAAAATTTTCAAAGTTGAAACTATTATCTTAGTGGCAAAGAGAGTATAATACGTGATTATCTCACTCGTAAGAATGCAGAATTTACTTAACTATACATTAGTGGATTATAATACTGAAAGAAAAGCATTTGTTTTTCATAATTATATAACTATTTTTTTACTTATCTTATAAAACAACTGTGTTTGTATAGTTATTTGTTAAGTTATTTTTATTATTTTATTCAAATAGTAAAATAAGAGATATATGGCATCGCTTATAATAAAAATAAAATAAAATAAAGTTGTCCAGTGTTAAACGCCAATAAAAATAGAGTTGAAGATATGAAACTAGGATAAGGGTTGAATGCCTACAAATATTTTAATTACAATATTCCAATCTTCTGCCGCACCCTCATACTACAATTGACCCACATGCATGCTTTACTATCATCATGGACAGTTATACCAATGGTCTAGCAGTAACATTGTAGATGCTTCAAGCGTGTCATTCATTGTTATGAACTTTTGGCAGTAATTAATTAAGCTAGGAAAGAGTCTAATATGGCTTCTATGTTGGAATCATCTTCATTTTGTAACCATTATAATATATAGAAAGAAAAATAAATAAATTCTGTCACATTTCTTGGAACTCTTACATTTAAAAAATATTTCTCTCAATACAAAAAATTTAAGTAAAAGAATATAATCGGACTACAAATACATATCATACACTTCAGGGACTTATGCCAAAAATAAAAAAATAAAAAAAAAATTAAATTAAAACCACTTCAAATGCTATGCATTTGGTTTGATTAGTTAGTTAATAACAGAACATATCTTGCGAATTTCGCCATTAGTGCCGGTCTTCAACCCAATGTTGCTCATCTTCACCATTGACCTTCCAAATTCCAAGTTGAATGTCAAGCCAGGTAAGCCTCTTACACCCAAATATCTCTGTACAAAGGCCTTTGTGGAAGCATCACTCCACAGAGCTTGATCAGACTGTAGAATTCCACGACCGTTCTTCAAATTAGAAAAGAAAGATGTGTCAAATTTGTTTTCACTTCCGGTATCTAACGCAACACGGTTTGAAGCTCCACCACTTTGCGGGCAGAGTGATTGTAGTTGTGGAAGAAATGAAGCGTCGATGGAGGGATCAGCACCATTTGCAGTGAAATTATATAGTCTGTTACTGAAGAATCGGCATGCTGTAGTACCAATGCTATGTCCACCTATATTCATCAAAATTTCAACTAAATTAAACGTTTCTCTTCATTTGTTTTTTAACGCAAAAAACAAGAAAGTATTGCACCCCACTTCAATTTGTTGCTATATTGATTTTCTTTATTTTTTTAATACTTTTCATTCATCAATCAAAATCGTGACACAGTGCTACGATTACTGTGTCACCAAACTACAACTTGAAACTCTAATAACAATCGATTAAGGTAAAATGAGCAAACGTTGTTTTGGTAGAGATTCTAATGATGATGAATTAAATTGAGGTGTGTAAACTCTTATAATTACCAACAAGGGTGACGAGGTCTTGAGTGTTGAGACCTAATGCTGCGAACTTTTGTTTCTGCAAGTCAACGGAGTCAAAAGGACCAGGCAAGTCGTTGACATCTGAAGCACGTGACACGCGCCCATCTCTTCGTCCAGTAGGCACTTGCCAATTCACTCCACCACTCTGAAATGCAGCCAACATTTTATAAATTATTGAAATTCTCTTGCTTAGTAGATACTTTATATTTATTATTATTTATTAGAACTTTATGGAACATGTAAATAATATGAATCGAATATAACTGATATAAGACAATACATGTTGGTCAAATGATGGATGTAGTTTAGTTAATTACCACAACAACGGAATCACGTGCAGCAAGGGTAAGGATATCAGCACAAGACACGACACCAGGGCACGCTGCCTCGAGCTGTGTCTTTGCATCATCAATAACCTCGTATCCCTTTAGACCAAGATTTGCAGGTGCTGTTCTTTCAGTGCCAGCACCAGCAATGAGCACAGAAGCGTCACAACCTTGCACAAAGCAATCGTGGAAGTGCATCCTAAGCAACCCAGCAGCTAAAGTAGGATCAGACTTAACGTGGGATTGAACTGTGGACTTGACAATGGACTCAGCGCGAGGACATGAAGTGGAATAGAACCCCACACGCGTCCCTTGGCCATGCACGGCGTTCACAACAGCCAAAGCAAGAAAAATAAATTTTAGCAAGATGAAGCTATTGTTATTGAAAGCATCCTCCATTTTGTAAATTTATGAGAACGAGATGCAACGCAAGCTTAATATATGAAATAGTTTATTTGGGCGATAGCAATTGGAGAGTGTGATTCTGTGAATAGAATATTTGAGGTGATGGTATCTATATAGGTGGAAGAAGGGGGGGGGGGGGTGTTCAAAAGTCAAAATTGGGAGACTTATGAGTAAGCAAAGCCGGCTGGTACGAAGGGCGTGTGTGCATGCAAAAGGATAGAATAAACAAGTATTCAGATCAAAGGATATATATTGTAGGGTCGATGGTGGGGACATATTTGCATGGTTTGCAGTGCATATATGTAGAACTGAGCAACACGTGAAGGAACTAAGAGGAGTTTTTTTTTTTTTTTTTTTTTGTTAAGGGAAGAGCGCGTTCACTTTTCTTATTGTGTTGACCATATAAAGGTAGGCTCATTGGAATCTTTGTAAAGAGTGGGCATCACTGCCTCTGCATTGCACTTGACTTGGACTTTTAGTTGCCTTGGCGGGTGCACAAGACTCCATGCTGAGTTGTCTCTTTTCCCTTTTCTGAGAATATAGTATCAATGATTTCAAATGTGTCTCCACTTAACATGCTAAGCAAAGGATCAACAAGGATATTGCTGAAAATTAAAATAATTAATAATTATTTTTCTAAAATAATGAATATTTTAGAACAAACCAAAACATTCAAAATGACATATAATATGACACAATGAAAATTTTAATAAATATTTTTATAAAATATATAAAAATATTATAACTTTTTTATAATTTATTTTATGAATAAATTATACATATTAACATAAAATTTTAGTGTTAACTCCTTTCATGTTTAAATAAATATAAAAAAGATTATTTTGACAATTTATTTATAGTCGTATGATTAAATTTTATTACTCATATTAAAAAAGTACTAAATTTTCATGAGAGGACCTCACATATGATGGTACAAAATTTTTTCGAAACATGGAGTTTGAAGCTTTTATACTATTATAGATTGTAACGTTTAAAAAAGTGGAAAAATAAAACTTATTTTAGATTTTAAAATTTTAAAAATGAAAATATGATTTACTTTAATTTTAAAATTTATATTATTTTACTTTTCAGAAAATTAAAAGTACATTAATTATAATATTTAAATTATTATGTCAACTTAACCCTCAAATGATTTCTTAATAATATTCTTTTATTTCAAATGATATTTCAAAAATATCAAGGTGGATATTATAAATAGGTAGCAATAATTTAATTAGTGGTAACATTAATTAACTTATATATTTCTTATTTATAAGTAGCAAAACTGACCGAGGAAGAATTGAAATATTTTTTCAAATAATTATTTATTTTAATTTATATTATTTACATATTTATCTTGAGGTAAAAAAATTAGAAAATTTACAATAGTATTGAAAAAGTAATCGCCGGAAAATTAATATGAAACGTATAAAATTTTTCTTAGAATATAACTTTGAATGTGTGTGTATATATCATAGATTATAAATTGGTTTAAGTAAAAAAAAATAAAAATGTCCAGGCAATAAATACAACAATAATATTTTAACCTTGTCAAGTTAATTTGTTGCAAAAGTCAACATCTTCATGTTTTTGGCCTTTTCACTCGTTTTCAGAATAGCCATCTACGAATGGGATTTAGCAATGCATTCACATGCGCACACATGACATGGTCTTTGATAGAAACCTCAAAGCAATTGTCTTTTTTTCATTCTTTATTTTCGTTTCGAATTTATTCTAAGCATCAACCAGATAAGGGGCTTAACAACTTGTATTTATTGTGCAACAATGAAAGCATCAAATACGTCTCTATTTATTAGTTATAATTAACGCAAATGTTGATTGACAAAACTGCCAAAAGAAAAGCTCTATATGGACCAGTGTTGTGCACTACTATTCAGTAGCTTTTCCACATCATACATATAACAGCTTTCGTTTTATTGGAGACAAATTCAACGGGAGAAGCGCTACTATAGTTATGGCTTGTCAACTTCTAAACAGCACTTCAATAATATACACCAATGATTACATGCAGCTCAGTAAACTAGCCAAACTATAGAAGAATATAGCAGGGTAAAAAGGTAATTATATATATAATAAGCCTTGCAAACATGTTTCGTCCATTTAGATAATGATATTAAAGTTTCAACCTAGCGAAGATTGTTTTCACATTATTTGATCAGCAATTTTGAATGAGATTTATTAGTTTTCCCTATAATCATTCTCACCCCACATTTGTTGAACTTCGGAATATACAAAATGTTAAGACTCGATCGTACTTAATTAGCCTCCAATGCATTAGTCAATATTTTAAATCTATGAAATTGTCAATCACAATATCAAAATTAATGTATATAAGCCATTGCTAACGTTACATACATAGGAAGTTGGCACCTATGTAGTAGAGAACGTTAGATCCATTGTATGTAATTTTTGTAACCATGTGAATGAATAATGTGTATACTATAAGATGGTTTTTGAACGGAGGAAAAGGGAGAAAAATAATGCTATTTCGACCAATAACATTTTTTATCTCTTAATTATATTATTTATCCTATTCTTTACATTTTTTTAATCTCATTTCTTAACTGTATAAAAATCATCTTAAAAATTTATGTTGAAATCATTACTCAAGGAAAAAAAGTGTAGTTTTATTTTAAAAATAGTTTGTTTAGTTTGACAATTTAGAGGAGGAAAATATTCGAACCTTTTCAATCCAATGAAATGTTTTTAATTTGAGCACTTAAATTAAATATAATGACTTCATTTATCTATCATAACATTATAATAGTAAGTTAATTTATTTTTCTTTTCTTTTTTAAAAAATTAAATAAGATGTATCTTCTTCTCTTTTAACCAAACAATACATTACAATATATATTTAAAAAAAAAGACGTCATATATGATTGCCCAAAACAAGAAAAAGAATATTTATTCCCTGAAAATTTCCGTAACTTTTACACTTTCAAAATATTTCGTTAGAACAAAGAAAAAGAAAAATCAAAGCACAACTGCATATCATACACTTCAGCGGCAAATTATGCCAACAGAAACAAAGAAACCCACTTTCAATTTAGGCCATTATTTGCTTTAACTGGCTACTTATTTAGTTAACAGCGGAACATATCTTGCGAATTTCACCATCAGCACCCGTCTTAACACCAATGTTGCTCATCTTCACCATAGACTTTCCAAATTCCACGTTGAATGTTAATCCAAGCAAGCCTCTTAAGCCCAAGTACCTTTGTACAAAGGTCTTAGTAGAAGCATCACTCCAAAGCGCTTGATCAGACTGCAGAATTCCACGACCATTCTTCAAATTAGTAAAGTAAGATGTATCAAATTTGCTTTGACTACCGGTATCTAGTGCAACTCGGTTCGTAGCGCCACTGTTTTGCGGGCAAAGTGCTCTTAGTTGGGGAAGAAATGAAGGGTCCACGGAAGAGTCGGGACCATTTGCAGTGAAGTTGTACAATCTGTTACTGAAGAATTGGCATGCTGTTGTACCAATGGTATGTGCACCTATACATTCATCAAAACGAATCCGTGTGAAAAAGATGTTCTCTAAACAGTGTGCAAGAAATTGTAATAAAAAGTTATGTGAAAAGGTCAACATTATATTATGTTAACGTGTTGTTATTATTTAATTTACTTTTGCAACTACTTAATTAATTACATATAGAAATGAGCTGTCACAAAACAACCTGGATACTATAATACATGTGACCGCGTGACTATGATTTGAGATTCTAATGATGATTAATTAAATTGGAGTGTGTAAATTTATATATGTAATTATTACCAACAAGAGTGACAAGGTCTTGAGTGTTAAGGCCCTTGTCTGCGAACTTTTGTTCTTGGACATCAACAGAGTCAAAAGGGGCAGGCAAGTTATTCACATCTGAAGCCTGTGACACGCGGCCATCTCTACGACCAGTTGGCACTTGCCAACTCAGTCCTCCACTCTGCCATGCAAAATTGCCAAATTTTAATCATAAATTCATAACATGCAAATATTTATTTTCAACTCAAATTTTGATTTGGTTCAACTAAGTAATAAAGATCTCTTTCCACCTTGCTAACAAAGATATATACTTAAAAAAAAGTACTTGTAACAAAATTCATTTTTTAAAATGGTTAAACCATTTCTGTCATAAATTAATTAACCTTTTAAAAGATATTTTAATTTTTTAACAAATAGGCCAACCATAAAAAAATTGTGTTAAAAAGATAGACTGTGTTATTAAAAAATATTTAATATATTAATTGTACTAAATAAATTCAAACATGGACAAATTGATCAGTTAAATAATTACCAAAACAACGGAATCACGAGCAGCAAGGGCAACAATGTCAGCACAAGACACAACACCAGGGCACGCTGCCTCGAGCTTTGTCTTCGCATCATCAATAACCTCATAGCCTCTTAAGCCAAGGTTTGCAAGTGCTGTTCTTTCAGTGCCATCACCAGAAATGAGCACAGAACCGTCACAGCCTTGCACAAAGCAGTCATGGAAGTGCATCCTAAGCAACCCAGGAGCCAAAGTAGGATCAGACTTAACGTGGGATTGAACTGTGGACCTAACAATGGACTCAGCTCGAGGACACGTAGTGGAATAGAATCCTACACGCGTCCCTTGGCCATGCACAACGTTTTCAAATGCCAAAGCAAACAACACAAACACTAGCATGCATAAACGACGTGCCTCCATTTTTAGTACTTATACGAGAAAAGAGTAGTAAATTAATGCACCACCCTGAATGAAGTGAAACTGAAACTGAAGCTTATATGAAATATTTGCTGTTTAAGCAACTGAATGAGAGAGTGTATGATTTGGTGGAATACAATGGCATGGGTGAGGGCATTTTATAGTTAGTTTTGGTCAAAATTTAGAGAATGAGTAAGCAAAGCCGGCTGGTACGTACAAACTACAAGTGGGTATGTGCAAAAATCGAAAAGTGCTGAAATGATGAAGAAGCACGAAACTGGGCTCGCGGTTTTTGTCTTGTAAACAACGAAAATGCAAATGATTCCGCGTGAGGGTTTAGGGAAGAGTGTATTTTGTCAAAGGGTGTTTACTTTTTCTTCTTCTGTGGCCACCACCACTTGCAATGAGAGGAATCTTTCTTTGGCATTGGCTTTATCCACTATTGCGCTTGGCTTGTCTCGTTCGTTAGCGACGATGATGGATGCTGCCACGAACAGTGCCAAAGAACATCTCCACGTTGAGTGTTTCTTTCTTCTTCTTCTTTTTCTTTCTTTTTTTATATTTATTTTGGCTGCGATTCTGCACTCGAGTCACGTTTCACATTTAAGTTGTAATATTTATATATTTTTAATTTTTTTATTAGATACTTATCTTCGTAGAACGTGTCAATTTCATGGATCCAGTGACATCCAGCTTGCCTCTTTTTCTTAATTTTCTTATAATATGTGTTTAACTTTGTATATAAGAAGAACGAATTTATCGAAGATGACCCAACACTTTTCGTTTTGGACGGAGTTGAAATTATCATATAAGACTTTAATTTATTTTTAATAGAATTAAAGCTAATAGAATCATAAATATTATGTTTGAATAGATAAATAAATAAAAACTAAGAAAGTTGGAAGTCTAAATATAAATTCAATTTTATTGTTTGAATGTAAGATGTATATTTTAAATTTATCGATTCAAATAATTAAAAAAATTGACTTTTTAACGATTTTGGTTTGATTAATGTCGTGCAAGGCAACGAAGTTTTGAGAAGTAAACTTTTTTTTTTCAACCCTCAATTTAAGTGCTTTCAAACATTCTATATAAATATAACATAATTGAATTATAATTTAATTTATACACGTTTATCGTGTACAAATATAGCTGGTGCATGTATGAAGAAATTATGTTAAAAAATTTATACTATATTTTTATATAAAGTATCTGATTTAAGCACTCAAATTAAGTGTTAAAATAGCATTATTTCTTAAATAAGGCCAGTATAACTTTTGGAAACCAAAATCTAATATAAATAATTAATCGTCGTTAAATATATTTGTAATAGAGTATTTAAATGTTTTAAATATAACACTATAAATTTTATTTTGCAATAATAATTTGAAAATTAAAAAAATTATTTATAGTGTAAGTTTCTTATAATGTTTGTGAATCTGACAAACTAAAAGAAAATTAACACAATAATATTTTTTAAGCAAAAATTAATTTGAATATATATTTCAAAAGTACCCTTTCAGTAATGTAATTGCATTACAATTATGAAGGAATATTTTTTTCTCATTTAAAGATGACTTAGTCTTACTCAATTTGACGAGAGAGTATTTTTGCTTAATTATATTTGATAATATTTTTAAAATTATTTTGCTATGACTTAAATATATTTTTACTCTTTAAATTTAAAAAAAAATTAGTCTCTTCAAATATTTTTTAAAAATTTTATTCTATAATTTTTCATAAATTTTATTTTTAGTCTATATTTTTAATTTGGTCTACTATGTATTATTAAATATCAGATTTTAATTGAATCACAAAGCCTAAAATAAAAAGTATTTTTAAAATGAATAAAAATAAAAAAAATCATTAAAATATAAGAACTAAAAACATATTTAAATTCTCTTTTATTTATTAAGTCAAACAATTTTTCTTATATTAAATATTCTATTTACTTTTTATTCATGTTTTTCAATTTTTTTAAATGCTATTACTTAAATTTATTTAGTCTTAAATTAAATTAAAAAATACACAATGTCAAATTATAGAAGCATATTTAAAAAATTAAAATTATTATAATTTTAATCAACATCAATTTAATTTTAATTTTAAAATTTTATCACTGTAGCAAATTAATAGATTTTGATAATCCAAACATTATTTCGGTAATTTATCCTAAAATTTTATTTATTTCCAAAATTTTATAACTTTTCCTTTAAATATTTGAATATCATCATTAAATTTAATTTCTCTAGCTATGTGTTTAATTAAAAGAAGAGAAGAAAATGAAGAGGAATTTTAACAAATGACAAGAAAGAAAGAGGAATGAAGAAGAATTTTAACAAATGACAAGAAAGAAAGGGAAAGAAAATATCTCCTCATTTAATTCAGGAGAAGAGAAAGAAAGTAAATAAAATATTATTTGACCCTTGTAAATAGATAAAATGATAATTAAAATAAGATTTTAAGAAAATTTGGCAGACATAGTCTAAAGGTTATGATTTACTTACCTGCTTATCTAAATTTCTCTAATATTTGAGGCAAATTTACTGACTAAAAATTAATAGTATAAAATTTTTATAATTTTTAAGAGTTCAAGACAAATAAGAATTAAATAAAAACAATTTAAATATGTGTAGAGATGTTTTATAATATCATTTAACAATGAATTATTTCATCAGTAATTTTTATAACACTTCAATATAAAATTTATGTTTATAATTAATATATTATTTTTTAGACTTATTTATGATTTTTTTTAAGAAATAACAGAAAATGTAAAAGAGAAAGCTCTTATAGAGTTCTTAATTAAAATTAAAAAAAATTATAACCTTTTCTAAATCATATATTCACCAGTGAAAAAAAGACATTTCATATCAATTAAAAAAGATTTTTTACGTCAGTTGCACATCTAATGTAGATACAAGTAGAAAGTTTAGGACTTTCTACGTCGGTTGTTAAGAATCAAGGTAAAAAGTGTCACTTTCTATATCAATTTTTTATAATAACTGATGTAAAAATATTATTTATATTCATCTTCGTCAATGACATCAATGTTTCTCTTCTCTGACAGTTTTAACATTCACGTTAATATTATCAATATATTTTTTTAGGATTTAAAATAGTCTTTAAGTTAAATTAAAATCCATAAATATTAGTGTTTATCATATTTATTATGTTCGTCATGTTCGCATGTTTATCGTGTTTATCTTTGTTTGAATCTGAAACATAAAGCACATGCAATATTTATCAAATCGTTTAATGAGAAAGAAGCAGTAAAAAGTGAAATAACAATATATGAAAGAAACTAAAACTATTAATATATTTGGAAAACTATTGCATGTTCATTGTCCACCTAAATAACAAAACAGAAGTTTCAAAAACTTAAGAAAAATTTGTATTCGAGTCTCTAATTTATGCTATTTTACTGGCACATATTTCAAAATTTTTAATTTGAATTGATTTTATATTGATTCTTAGAAACAACCGATGTAAAAAATATATTTTACATCAGTTGTTTATTGAACCGATGTAAGAAGTTCTGTAATTTTAAAAAGTTTAAAAGACTATAACTTTTCATACAAAACTTTGATTTTTACAAATTATATATATGTTTTTGGAAAATGATGAAACAAAAAATCAAAAAAATAGTAAAAAATTAGAAAAAGGAGAAAAAATTGAAATTTTGGAAAGCGGGTGGTCCGAACCCCCTCCGAGCGTTTGAATTGGACAAATCTCGAAAAGTTATATGAAATAAACATATAATTTATACAAATTGGAGTTCTATTCTAAAAGTTATGTCCATTTAAAGTTTACAACTATGAACGCAAAAAATTACAGAATTACACAATATTTTATACATGTTTATTAAAACAGCCGATGTAGAAAAGTTTTTAAAAAATACCATCTCATTTTTTTCTACATTGATTATTTTTAAAACCGATATAGAAATTACTTTTTACATTGGTTTTTTTTATAATCAATTTAAAATCCTATTATAGAAAAAAAAAATTTACTAGTATTTTTAAGTTATTTTAAATTTACAGTTTTTTCTTTACTTTACTCCCTCTCCCTTATTATTTAAAATTCTTTATTTTCTCTTTAAACTTTCAAATAGAACTTTAAAAATAAAATATATTTATACTTTTTTAACCTTTCAAAAAAATTTATTCCTTTCTAATGAAAAAGTTAACCCACTTAAAAATAAAATTATAGGTAGAGAATTTCTTTTTTGAAACTTCTTATGATTGTATAATATTAGTAATTTAAAATAATTTGTTTATATATATATATATATATATATATATATAACATTTTTAAAATTTTATGATTATTTTAAATTCAAATAATTTAAAATAATTAAAATTTCTAAAATTAAGAAAAAATAAATTAATATTAAATGGAAAAAGTTAAAAGGAAAAAGTCACAATTTTTAGAATCATTTTTATTTAAAATAAAGACTCACACTTAATATATAAAAATAATTAAATCAATCAACAAATGGTTATTTTAAATTTTAAATAATAAATATTTAATTCTATCTAAATAAAATTTAAAATTCAAATATTGTTTGTGAAAGAAAATATGTAATGTAAATAAAAAATCAGATGACAAGTTCCAAGAAAAAGTTTAAAAAATGTCTTAAAATTTTAACAACTAACTAATAAAAAAATCATACAAATTTTTTTTTGTCAAAATTAGACTAATTTATCTAAAAAATTATAATTTCTAATATTATTTTATTTATTATTATATTAATTGAATCATCATACACTGCCTCTTTAGTTAATTTTAAATTTGTTTATTTTTGTAGTGTTACTTTAGCATAGCTTTCTACAAATAAAATATTTTCATAAATTTTAGGTGGCAACATTTAATAGATAGGATAGGTAGCAATGGAGGATAGGATAGAAGACTTCAATCCATGAGTGTCAACATGTATCTTTCTTACAAGCTATTTGTATTGTATTGTAGTAAAACTAATTAACAGCAGAACAAGTCTTGCGAATTTCACCGTTAACACCGGTTTTGACAGCAATATTGGCCATCTTCACCATAGACTTACCAAATTTGAGTTTGAAGAGAGCTGTGGATGAGTATTTCTTGACAATCTTCCGCGTCGATGCATCGCTCCAAAGCAACTGATCAGAACGGAGAACTCCTCGCCCTTTCTTAAGGTGAGCGAAGTATGACGTGTCAAATCTTAATTGGCTGCCTGTGTCTAGTGCCACTCGCCTCGTCGGTTCATTTTGTGGGCAAATTTGCCGCAAAAATGGAATAAAAGAAGGATCGATGGAAGGATCGGTGCCATTTGAGTTGTATATTCTGTCTGCCAAGAATTTGCAAGCAGTTGTACCCATCGTGTGCCCACCTTTTATTTATATATAAGATTATCTTGTAATTTTATATGTAAACCAATACTCGCAAATACAAGTATGCTTTAAACTACAATGGAAGTTAATTGCATTCAAAAATAAATTATTTTCTGTGCAATAAAAATGATTGTTGATGACAGGGGATTCAACTAAACCCTGCACTTTTTAAGGAACAAAAATATAATTTGACCTTTTATAAGTAAACTAAAAGTGTACACTTACCAGCAAGAATGACAAGGTCTCGAATGTTAAGACCAAGAACTGAAAACTTGTGCTTCAGAATTGCAACGGTATCATTAGGAGAGGGCAAAGAACCAGTTTCCGATCCAATTGAAACCCTTCCATCTCTACGTCCAGTGCGCACTCCCCAACCGTATCCACCACTCTGCATCCATAACCCCACAAATTACGCAATGCTAAAAAGTTGGAATCAATCACCTTTAAAACATTTGGTAATTCAAAAAACTTTATCAGATGAAGATTATCAATGCATTGTTATTATAATTTAAATAAAAAAATTAATTTAAATTATAAACAAAACAAATTAATTAACTAGTTACCAGAACAACGGCATCACGAGCAGCAAGGGCAAGGATATCAGCACAAGATACAACACCAGGGCACGCAGCCTCGAGTTGTGTCTTTGCATCATCAATAACATCGAAGCCTCTCAAATTAACGTTTGGAGGTGCTCTTCTCTCAGTATCGTGGCCATCAATGAGAACGGAAGCGTCACAACCTCTCACAAAGCAATCATGGAAATGCAACCTGAGCAACCCAGCAGCAAGAGTTGGGTCAGACTTAACGTAGGATTCAACTGTGGATTTAACAATGCACTCCGCTCGAAAACATGAGTGTGAATAGAATCCCACACGTGTGCCATGTCCATTCACCGTGTTTACAACAGCCAGAGCTAACACTAGAAGGAAGCTTTTGTTCCACAAATTACCACCCTCCATTTTATAAGGAATAATATGCATAGATAGCTTTTCTTATATATGCTGCGTATTAGACTATAGAGTGAAGTGCAGGTTTTGTGAAAGACTTATTTTCACTTAAATTCTAGAACATAAAATAGGTGTAGGTATTTATAGAGGCTAATTTCGTGTCTTTTATGTCATTGGGAGAATGAGTAAGCAAAGCATGACCGTTTCCTCATGCTTTTATTTTCACCAAGGTCTTCCAATATAAATTGTGTTGCGGAGTGATTTAATTCAAGTAGGCTTAATTTCTTTTGCCTATTATTCATTCTTTTTGGTTAATAAATTTATCAGTTAACTTTCCTTATCATTATAAATTATGAAAATGGAAGAACTGTTAACTTTTAACGTACGTGTTTAAATTTAGTTTCTGTGGCTACAGTTAATTAGATATTCGCAATTAATTCATCTTAGTGTTTGACCCCTTCCAGCTTTAATTCGTTTAATCAATCGCTGTGGTTATCATCCCATTTCATGATGAGCTTGACTTCTGACCTTAATAAGGTGTTACTGTGACTGGATAAAACTTTTAATCTTCCATAGCTATACACCTTTAAGTAAGTTACTGTGATCTACTAGTTTGACAGATATATTAGCTATATATTCACTCATCTATGACTACAATTTCAACTTACCTTCTATATTTACTCATTTTGTGACTGAAGTTGACCTGCCCTCATTCTTTAACTTGAGCTTGTATCCCTTCTTGTTGAGTCCCTTCATTATTATTATTTTTATCTCTCGTGTCTTGAGTTACTGGGTTTCCTCAGTCAGTCCACTTTTTTTATTCTCCAATTAAACTTTTAATCAGTTTTTTGTTTTGTTTTTTTAATAAGGCTTCAGATTTTGAGTCATAATTCCGTTTTTGGCCGTTAAATTTAAAAAAAAAAACCTAAACTAAAAGCGAAGCGAAGTGCAATCTTTACTTTCCGCTGCCTCTGTAGTTACGACCACTCCATAGTCATAGAGCACCTAGCTAGTATTCGTCTTGCAGAGGCCGTCCGGGGACCACAATTGCAAGATTAAGATCCCCATGGTTTTCATCACCACCGTAATTGAGATCTCAACCGCCGTTTGCAAATTTGACATTATTTAAGGTTTTGAAGGTCAAAATCACTTGCTTGGTTGTTAAAATGGTTTGCTGTTTTATGGTGAATATAGATTCTCACGAATGGCATCATTTTCGGACAAGAGACATTGAGTGGAGATAAGTTGTTGGAATTAATTATGGCTAGGTCATCTTGAACATAGATCAGTGCTAGATTAGAATAGTTATGTAATCCATTGTTAGGCTTGGCTCATGTAAAATAGTAATTTTTAAATCTGACTCATCTGGGGGACATTTTTATGCTCTTTCAAATAAATAAATCATATTTTCTATTGATAAAAAAAATTAATATTCTCACAGTAAATTCTTATAATTTTAGGGAGAGATAGAAAGAGAAAAGAGAAAAATAATAAGACAATGAAACAAAAAAAAAAGTTATAAAAAGTTATTATCCGTGTATTATTAATCAAATAAAAAATTTAAGAGTTTCATAGTAGGTCTTGACAAAACCATCTCTCACAAGCGAAGATGAACTCAGTTTCCATAGATAAGCAAAGCGAGCCATTCACACATTGTTGAAGAAGTCTCCACCCACCCATCAATGTTTAGCTTGCCAACGACCAAGTCGTTCTGTCTCTAATACATATACATCAGATATATAAAAATGTCAATAGAAAGATCAATCAATGTAGTTAATCACAAGTTATTTATTTATGTTGGCATAGAAAGCACACGTACCCATAATGAAAGGAGAAAAATTGAACTTCCTTAAATTATCGTTTTTTGACGAAAGGCTTTCTTGAATTTTCTGTATATTATATACGTGTAATTTGTTCCGCGCGAGGGTCCCTCGGGTGCAATACACTTTGCTGTTGCTTCCTGTCTCCCACACTTCAATCTTTATGGGTCTGTTCAGAATGAAATTTATCGTGATAAAACTCTGTTTATTCGTTAACAATTTGTAAAACTGACTCATCAACTTTATTAAATTGAGTGTTAATTATTCATGAAAAATTGCGTTTAATATGCTTTTCGCATAATGACCAGTTAATGATCCAAAAGTGTACCAAGTTAATGAAAAAGGTTCTTTACTTTTCAAAGTAGATTGAATCGTAATTAAGATTTATAGTTGGTTAGAGAACTTAAGAGTGATTTGCCATCAATTGTGCGTTTTCTGCTACAGAAATATCAAAATTTAAGATTGCTTCATGATTTGAAAGATACGTAGGAGATCGGACTTCTGTTTGGTTTACTCTTGTATGGTTTACATATTTTCGTACAAATAATATCATCTTTATGAATGCTTTGTTCATATCTCTTAAAAGGGTGTGGTATGGAAAGAAGAGGAGAGAAATAGGAAAGATGAGTATGATTATGAGCTACCTGCCAGATTAAGGTTGATATGTATGATTCAACATTATCACTCCCCTGCACCAGTAGTGTGACAACATATGGTGTTATTACTTTTTCGTCTACGACATGATATAGAGAGAAAAATATATATAGAAAGAAATATAATAAAATATAAATATTCAGTTTAAGTGTTTAAATCAGTGAATCAACTAACAGTTTGAAACAGGTAAAACTGTCTTTCTTTCTTTCACGTATACCATGACCGTTTATTTTAATTTCTTTTTCGTTTAAAAGTGATTAAAAGCAGTGTTGCTTGGAAGCCCTAATTTAATAAAATTTAATATTTATATAAATCAAGTCATTACAAACAAATTTGTTAAATTTGACATATTACATATATCAATTAATGTCTCTGTGTAAAATGTAAAGCACAAACATTTTAACAATATTTTAAAAAATTATCCTTTATTTCTTATATAACCAATAACCATAGTTATACACTTGAAGATAAAGTATTTCGTGAGCTTTATATTTATTTTCTATAGGAAGAAGGCACATAAATGTTTATATTATCACCTCCAAACATATAGATTATCTAAACGCCACATGGAAAGATGAGTATTATTATGAGCTACATGATTATTAATTAACTAATTAACAGCAGAACATTTCTTGCGAATTTCTCCATCAGCACCTGTCTTCACAGCAATGTTGCCCATCTTCACCATAGACTTGCCAAATTCGATGTTGAAGGGACCCGTGGCTAAGAATTTCAGAACAAAGTTTCTCGTAGAAGCATCGGTCCAAAGCACTTCATCAGAACGGAGAATTCCACGACCTCTCTTAAGGTTAGCGAAGTAAGATGTGTCGAATTTGAATTGGCTTGCGGTGTCGAGTGCAACTCGCTTCGTTGGTTGGTTTTGTGGGCAAATTTGTCGCAAAAATGGAAGAAAAGAAGGATCAATTGAAGGATCAGTGCCATTTGAGTTGTATATTCTGTCTGCGAAGAATTGGCATGCAGTGGTACCTATCGTATGCCCACCTATAAATATAATCATTAATTACAATATCTTAAGTTGTGGAGAATATGCAGCCTCCTATAATACTGAAGATTGATTTGCACCTGACCTGCAGTCCCTTTACAAGAAAGCGATTTTGTACCTGTTTTGGATTGTTCATTTATTTTAAAATAGGAATTTTCGCAGTTTCTGGAGATAGTTATTAAACAAATTGTTTTATTATGGGTTAATTTTAAGTATTTAGAAATAATAAATATTTGTTCATAGGTATTTTTTAATAAAAATTAATTTTATTATTTAAATATTAAAAATTAATATTATACATGATATTATATTTTTATTTATTTTTATACATGCATTTAAAAATATACTTTAAATTTAATTAAAGAAATTTTTTCGTTTGTTCATAAAATATTTTTCACAAAAGTTAGCTTTTTTAATTAATACTCAAAACCTCGCACCAGTAGTTTAAAATAACACAAATTAAAGAATACAATTGATATCTTTATTTAAATCAAAATTATTGTTAACTTGTTAATATAATATTTACTATTATTTCTTTCTCATTTATTAAAAATTAGGTAAAAATTAGGGCATAATTAAAAATTAATGACTAATATTTTTTTAAAGTATTAAATATATATATAGATAAATGAAAAAAAATCTAAATAAACAAAAAATAAAAATAAACAAATGATAATTATAATAATATTTAAATTTTATTAATCCATATTTTTAAAACATTAGTTAAAAATAAAAAGTATATGTTAAAATATATTAAAGAGTTAAAAAAAAAGGGTTATTGAAAAGATATACCTACCAACAAGAAGGACGAGATCCTGGGTGTTAAGACCCTTATCAGAAAACTTTTGCTTCTGCACTGCAATGCTATCATTAGGAGCAGGCAAAGTATTCGTTTCTGTTCCAATTGAAATCCTTCCATCTTTGCGTCCAGTGGGCACTTCCCAACTCTTTCCACCACTCTGCATGCATGCAACCAAATAATTAACTCATCAAATTCATGCCTTTCGGGAATCATTTTAATTATAATAAAAGTTATTATTAGCATTAATTTTGATTAGTTTCATTGGTTTAATATAATATAATATAAATTACCAGAACAACGGAATCACGAGCAGCAAGGGCAAGAATATCAGCACAGGACACAACACCAGGGCACGCAGCCTCGAGCTTTGCCTTTGCATCATCAATTACTTGGAAGCCTCTCAAATTACGGTTTGGCCCCGCTGATCTCTCGGTATCAGAGCCAGCAATGAGGACAGAAGCGTCACAACCTCTAATGAAGCAATCATGGAAGTGCATCCTAAGTAGCCCAGCAGCAAAAGTAGGGTTAGACCTGACGTAGGATTCAACGGTGGACCTAACAATGGACTCAGCACGAGGACATGAACTCCAATAGAACCCTACACGTGTGCCTTGGCCGTGCCCCACTGTGCTTACAACAGCCAGAGAAAGCAGAAGAAACTCTAGAAGGAAGTTTTTGTAAGATAAATCACCCTCCATTTTATATACTAATGAATATAGTGTATAGTATATATTGATTGAAGTGCAAGTTTGGTGAAAAAGTAGGTTTAGTTTAGTAGGGAAAGGGGAGGGTGCGAGTGAGAATGTGAAGAGTGTATGTATTTATAGCAGTTTCATGCTTTTTTGGATCATTATTGGGAGAGAAGAGAACGAGTAAGCAAAGCCGGCTGCTACAGAAATTGCCATGCGTGCCTGCATAGTGTAATGCACACTGCATAATGCATAATTCATATGCATCCATGAATTCAAGAGTATGAATAGCATCGATATTAGAGGCTAGGATTAGGATAGTAGCACTTGGATTACTAACGAGTCTTTCAAATATTTAATTAATATTTTTCTTTTCCGTCCTGAGTTCATAAAATTAGTTTTATTTACAATAATAAATCATATAAATTTTATCAAAATAAATATTTTAATTCATAAATTGTTTGATTTTTAGTTCTCAAACTTGTCATGAAATTGATTTACAATACAAAAATACATTAAATATAGTGTATGAAAGGAAAAAAATAAGTTTAAAGTTTTAAAGGACTACCTCCTCTTTTACATAAAAAATATAAATAAAAAATCATTTATATATAATATTTTTTCTTATAATATAATTCTTCTTCATTCTAAATATTAGTTTTTAAAAACATCATTAAAATCTGAATAGTCGACATAGGCATACTTATAATTGTGTACTACAATTTAAGATCTTGAATATTATATATCTTTTTTTAAAATCCTTTTAATACTATCGTTAGATGGGCTCGAATGATTTAATAAATTTACTCGTGCTGAGTAATACATATTACATTAAAAAAAAAGTTATATGACTATTCAATAATTTTTTTTATATAATTATTTAGAAATTTAAAATCACATTAATTATGAATTTAGATATTATACTCTTATTTTACTTAATAACTTACTGCTATGTTATTGAGAATAAATAAAAGTAAAATAAAAAATTGATAAAAAGATTTAAAAATCTTTTTCCAAAGAAAAAAAATAGTTATATTCCGTAATATATATGTTACTAACTTAAGTGGAATATATAATCTATAACTATCACTAAAGTTATTTCCTTACAACGTCATATGCTATTTTCCTATATTTTTCAATATTTAAAATTCATTACTTTATTTTATTTTCCTTAGGTTTTCATTTATCTTATTTATACGTTACTTGATTTTTTATATTATAATTTTTTAACTTATTGTTATAATAAATATTAAAAAATTTTAAAGAAAATAATATTAAAATACAATAATATTTTATATAAAAATAAAATTAATTATTATATATATTAAATAAATATATAAACATTAGTATATACTCAATATCATAAGAAAATTATTTTATTTGGTAATATTTCATTATTAAAAAAATTATTCAATTTAAATTTTAAAATATATGAAATAAAATAAAATAAAAACTTCACCTTTAATCTCTTCTATTTTTTATGTGAGATTAAAATTATAAAAAAAAACATTAAATTTGATAATTACTAAACAGTAATATGAATTTCAAAGATATGAAAATTGCTTTTTGGAGACAAGAAAATATAATTTATTTTTTATTCATTATTCATTATTATTATATAAGTGATTACTATAATAGGAAAAAAATCGCATGCACAAATAAATTTATAAATTAAAATTTTTTAATCATTTAAAGAATTATAATTAATATTAATTAGTCTTCTTAATATTTATAATATAAGTATATTTCTAAAATTATTTTATATATATAAAGACTCAAACTCAAAACTTTACTTAAAATATATAGAGCCGCTTTTCACTTAAACTAATTTCTATTAGTAATTTTACTTTAATTTATAACTTAATAATATAGCCTATTTCATTTAAGAGATTCAATATCATAAACTTTTCAACACTTAAATTAATATATAATATGGTTTGTTTTCATAGTTTTACATTCTTAAAATTATTTATTTAGTAAAAATATGTAGTATAAAATAAATAGAATTATTTAATTATATTATTAATATATATATATATATATATATTTAAAAAAATAAATAACATTAAAATAAAAGATCACTTGTATTTTCATAGAACATGTGCATTGTATAAATCCGAAATCGATCGATCTAGTAGTATGTTACTTCTCTTTCAATTAATTTCTTCTGGTTTGAATATTTCCTTTCTTGTATTGTAACATATTCTAGATTGGCTGCCTCTCATAAATCCTTACCAACTGCCACCAAAAGTATTAATTAAGATGACAATAACAAAATACTAGTTTCTAAGTACTGTCAACTGTCAATTATATAAGTTTGCAATCATGAGAAACAAAACCCACATATTATGACATTAAAAATATATCTATTTACATCACAAATTCAAAAGTAAATCTTCGCTTCAAATTTGGGTATATTTCCTCTCTCTCCCTTTTTCTTTCTCACTTTGACCCCTTCATCTGATTGACATGAGTCTTGAGCTACCATTGTAGTAAATCTACGCCATGGAATGAAACCCTTCACATCCAAACGCCCCTGCCCCACATGGTCTTAACACTAGATTTGGGTAATTGCTTCTTCTTTTTTAGAATGGGTATGGTAAGTTTTCATGTGCAAGATGAGAGTAACACTTCTCATAAACGAAAGAAGATACAAATTTAATTTGAAACTGGCAATTTTTGGTAGGGAAAACGGAAAAATGAATTTGCAATCTTAAAACTGGTGTTGAGAGAGAAATCATGAGATTAGAAGTTGAAATTATGACCTTTCGGAAAATTAAAAATTAATTAGAATGAGAGATTAGCTAATAGGATTAAAAAAAAAGTAAGCCTTTACTTCATGAAAAATTCGAGGAGTAAACTTTTGACTAAAATAATACAAAAAAAAGCAGCTAAAATAGCCTAAATAATATAATAGCATTGATTGTTTTTAAAAAAATTACTAGTAATTTATATTTACAATAGGTTTTGCAAGAAAGCCCAACATATGATCCATTAAATTGTATAAAATAATATTTATATAACATTGATGGTTAATGTATATTCAGGGTAAAGTACATTTACTTTTTTGTAGCTTCATATTTGTTCAACTTATTTTTTATCATTAAATTCTTCTAAAATTTATAATAAAGTAAATAGTGTGATAATTACAATATTAATCATATAGATAACAAAACTAACATTATAATTAAATCAAGTAAAAGTAAAGTAATCAAGGAAGGTATTTAACAAGGTACTGGTCGAAACCAATCACACTTTTCCACTGTATTAATTAAAACGAATATCCGATTTGGTATCAGAGAAGATTGTTAATGTGACTCGTTAGTCGGTGACCCCTTTTTGTTTGATCTCATCTAAAAATTTAATAAAATTTGTGAAATTTTTATAACGACATATTTGGGACAATTAATCTAAAAGTCTAATCGAAAATAATAAGACGTATTCAACGTGGAAACTAATCATGCTTCCCTGCTTCACTCGCTTTTTGCTTTGCTTGATAGTTGGTAATACCGTTTCGCTAGGATTATTATTTACCTAAATAATAAACATAATAAAATAACATTTAAGAAGGTTACTTGTCTTCATAAAAGAAAATTAAAAAAAAAAAATCACTTTAATATTTATATGATTAATTGATATTAAACTAAAAATACTATCCATTTGAAACATAGTAAATTATACACTTAATTAACTTTATGGACTTTTAAGAACACAATTTTTCAAGAGACTTTGACAGCTATCATGTGTACCAATTGTGTGCAGTTGTAAGATGTTGATACAACCAACACGCAGTTCACTCATTGCCTCACACTACGACAACGTTGGCCGTCCATGACTTCTGAGAATGAAATACAAGAATCATCCACCTTTTTTTCAAGGCTATACACAACATTACAATTTACTTGACAGGTCCAAGGTTTTATAAACTTCATATGTACACATCATCACTTGGTTTGAGCTGGCTGGAAACATTTAAAACTATATATAATCTGAATCTTAGTATTCTCAGGAGAATATGAATAAGTAGATGCCCTTGTTGTCTGCAACTAGTAATTTTTTACGTGCATTGGAGTAATGTGTCTGTGATTTCATCGAGCAGTTCAATCCATTTTCGCTTGTAAAATCTTGATGCCATAACTGCAACACTGATTTCAATCTCAAATGCATGATGGGGTTTCCCCTCTTTGCTCTTCAGCACATTACTTTCTTGGTCCTTGCTATTCTGACCACACTTGCTGTAGCTCAGGGAGACCCTATAAGCAAAACCAGCTCAGATTCTTCTATCCTACTACCCTTAAATGGCACTGACAACGATGAAGTCCAAAATAAACCTTCAGATAAAAAGAACGGTTCCAATAATATTTCATTAATTTTCAATGTGGTTCTTCTGCTTGCAATTATATTACTGTTGATACTTTACTTCAACACAGCCAGAAAGCTAAATAAAATTGGGAAGGGGCAGGTTCCAACGGTCCTAGAAAAAGACAATGATGTGGAGATCAGCGTTGACAAGAAGATAGAGATAGGAGAGGGGACAATAATGATGACAGTAGAAGAGAGAAAGGAACTCATATTCTTTAATGATAAACCAAAATTTAAAATGGCAGAACTTCTTAGAGCTTCTGCTGAGTCACTGGGTCATGGAATCATGGGGAATAGTTATAAGGCCATGCTGAATGATGGATCAACTATTGTTGTAAAACGGCTAAGGGACCTGAAGCCTCTCACTAAGGAGGAATTTGCAAAGATATTGCATCTGATTGCTGATCTGAAGCACCCCAATTTGTTACCTTTGCTTGCTTACTACCATTCCAAAGATGAGAAACTGATGCTCTATAAATATGCAGAGAATGGAAATCTTTTCTCCCGACTTCATGGTAATTTGCATCAACTTGCTTCTTTATTTAAAATTTTTTGTTGTGTACATTTGTGAAATTTAATAAAAATAATATCTGCAAAAAGCGGTAAACAGACACTGAATACAACAACATAGTCAGCATTAGAAACATTTCACACAATAGAATTTTCCTTCGGACAGCAGCCATTATCCAACAGTTCTAATCATTATCCCTTTTTTCAGAAGAAAAAGGGTCAAGGTAAAGGATCTAGAAATTGAGTGATGTGTGCAGAAATGTTTTCTAACTCTGTTCCTCGTTTTGGTCAAAATAAAAAAATATATATATATAATCGTTATCCCTTTTGACAAATATTTATAATGGTTTTAGTTCTAGAAATTAATCCAATCAAATGTTTGACGTGTAGATAAAAAAAAATGACAAAGTTAGAAACAATAGCTGAAAAATTGTTGACGATCAAAACTTAGGAGAGATTGATTTCAATGCACAGATCATATGCCACATCAAATTTTACAAAAACTCCAATTCACATGATTTATTTTTCAAGTTTAATTTCTAGTAAAAACTAAACGTGAAGAAACATTAAGTATACAAAGCCATGCATGTTTCCAAAATTTTGATAACTTTCAGCAGCTAAAAATTTAGTAAAACCATCTTAAATCCATAGACTTACCACCAGGCTTCGTTTATTTTATTTTATGTTATTTCAGTCTTCATATATTTTTGAAAGAGCAAAAAGCTAATAAAAATAGTTCTTGTATAAATAAAAATTGTTTGATTATAATGCTTTGGCAACAAAAATATGCATGACCTTACATATCTTAATCTTGTGCCCTCAAAAATGGACATTTCAGATGGTAGAGGTGGAAACCGGCTTCCATTCAGTTGGAGCTCAAGGTTATCAGTGGCACGAGGCGTGGCTCGAGCATTGGAGTACCTGCACCTAAACAACAGGTTCCAAAACATTGTCCCACATGGGAACTTGAAGTCTTCAAATGTACTATTCGATGAAAACGATGCAGTTGTTGTATCTGACTTTAGTCTTGCTTCATTAATAGCACAACCAATTGCAGCTCAGCATATGGTTGTTTACAAGTCACCTGAATATGGGTATGCAAGAAAGGTGACAATTCAATCCGATATATGGAGCTATGGATCCCTTCTAATTGAACTTGTAACTGGAAAAGTATCAGTGTGCTCAGCTCCATCAGGGACCAATGGCGTGGATCTCTGCAGTTGGGTTCACAGAGCTGTGAGAGAAGAATGGACAGCTGAGATCTTTGATAAAGAAATTTCTGGCCAAAAGAGTGCTCTTCCCGGGATGCTAAGGTTGCTGCAGATAGCAATGCGTTGCATTGAGAGGTTCCCAGAAAATCGTCCTGAGATGAGAGAGGTGGTGAGAGAAGTGGAGAAAATACATGCCCCAATGATCTCTGAAGATGAAGATGATGTATCTGGGGATAGGTCTCTAACAGATGATTCCCTTTCAACCAGTACTTCCTTTGTTGCAGATGAAAGATAGATAGATCATTTAGTGCTTGCACCTCATCCAGTACACATTGTTCTTTTTGTTTTAACATGAAGGAAGTAGAGTGTTCCAAAATAAGTCACCATTTTTATGTACGTTTCTTTCTCTCTCAAAATGAATTCATAAACCTACTTATTTTATTTATTTTTTGCTAAACTTCTTAAACCTACTTTTATATATTCGCGATTACGCAAGAATATAAATTTATTTGGTCTAATCCATCGCATGTCTTTTAATCTCTTTCTCAAAATTATCTTTTTTGCGGTTTGTTAAAACCTTGGTTGTACTTTTTAATAGAATCAAGTAGTGATCTTTGATCTACGTTAATGAGTATGTCACACTAGACTTAAAATGAGTAACTTTAAGCGTATTTCTCTTGGAGCCTAGGTTAATAGGAACAGAAAAAAATATTTCTATGATTAAATGTGTGTTTTCTCGTTTGAGTGGTTTGCCCCACAACTCCCGATCGCAACTTCTCTGTTCGGGTATGTTGAAACGTGGGTCATTGTCAATATCAACACACTCAAGATTTGCTTAATCAAATTGGTAATCTCTTGTGATGAATAAGTTCCTTCAAATAGCAATGTGCGCGTGCTTACAAACAAGGAACCAATTTCCCAACCCACAAGCCATAACAAAAGCTTACAGTAGTATTTACTAATGACCTATAAAAAAAGACTGCACCTAAGTGCTTCTAAGGAAAAACCCATCGTATCTTGATAGAAAATACAAATGAATCGTTGATAATTCCAGAAGGACAGGAATAATCATTTTCCCCTGTTGCATGAAAACGTAACTAAATGAAATATAACAAGGCAAATGAGCATAAAACAAGCAATCATCCAATTTTCTAGTGTGGAAATCATTGAGTTGATCCTATAATGATGGTACAAGATCCACTAATAATCCGAAAACAGTTGACAGCATCCTGTACAAAAAAATGATAACACATCCTCATGAAGTTTTCACGTTATTTTTTCATGTTGAGACAGACAATGGAATTTTAAATTAGTAGGTCCTATCAAAATTTGTACAAGTAAACCCACATTTTTATCCCCACGCTTCACAAAGGTAAGTCATTAACCTATGTTTTAGAAGATCAAGTTACCCCGCAAGATATGCCTTTAACCCTTTATCAGTCATATTAGTCCTTTAATTAGACACACCAATGTACCTGACCAAAAATAGATCATGGACATTATTTCCGTGTTTCTTTAACTTAAGAGACTAATATGATATTGCATGCCAAAATTTGGGAGAAAAATAAAGGTTCACTGAAATTTGCAAAGTTCTATTCATGGTCATCTACCTCTCTTCACTGTCTTGTCACTTGAAAAAACAAGATTTCCACAGAAAATGGTACAGTCAAGTAACTATAGTCTCAAATTATTTTGATGACTGACCGTGGAATGCGCAAGGTAATTGTGATCCTTCCGATGAAAACAGTTGTGAGCGTAGCATTAATCTGAATCGTCATATATGCTACCTTATGATGATTAGCAGAAATTTACATCAGCATTAAGACATCCAATGCAACAATGAATCACAGATTAACAAAGGGATCTGAGTAAGCCCGAAATAATTATACATCATCATATACTTGAAAAGTATGAATTGTACAACGAAATGCGCCGACACTGGTTTCACTTTCACCAGGCGTTACCCCCTAAAAACAAATTTTTCCCACTCCAGTAGAAGAATCTTCCTGACAGACCTGTTTCTCAGTCTTTAGTGGTGGATTGATCACTGATCCATGTATCTGTCAATTAACCAGAAAATGAGGCTTGGACGAAACAATGGCCTACTTCATCGAAAAATGTCACAAATTCACGACAACATACCGTGGGACTGGATTTGGGAGGTATAGTTTCGTTAGGAAGCAACATTGATGGATCCGAGGGCCTGTGAAACAGTAAGTGCGCTACAGACCGATCGATGGGGTTTGTGTCAGTTTCCATATCCATGAATCCGGTACACCTGAATGAAGCTATGTGTTATCAAAAAGATTAATTCATAAACACAATATTTGAACTTAGATCCTAAAAGGATATTTTTGTGTCGGCGAGTGAATAAAAATAAAAACTAAATCTTTGGAAACACTACAAATGCCGCTACCTTGTAGTTAAAAGAAATATAAATCTGTAGCGAGTAAAGAGTGTGAGCAATACCTGTTTGCATCCTGTACCATCATTGCTTTGCACGTTTCATCATCTCCGATACAACCATTTGCGCTTGAATTATTATGTCTTTGCTCAGCACTCTTAGCCAAGCGATATAGACTGTCCCTTATGCACAGTTTGGTTCTAATATCCAACTGCAACAAATTTTTGGTGCAACAAGTAAATTATAATCAACTAAGTGACGGATTTTCAGTAATGAGTCACAGGTAGGTAAGAACCTTGGCAACTTTAAAAGGGAGAACACTATTAGTTTTGCAATATCGACTTTGTCTGTTTAATCCACTACACACTCGCTTAGAATAAATTACAAAATGCATAGCATGCCCTAACACGTTACCAATCCAAAGAAGAGTCAGATCTAACTATATAAATCAAATAAGCACTATTAGCCTACTACCTCTAACTAAAAGAATATAACAAAAACTTTCACATTCAACCAAGATGACAAATTACATAAACTGAAATTAATAGTAAGAAAGACAACTTGATATCTTTAGTTCTTCCTTTCTAGCTTTGCCTCAAATTCTTGAATTTTGGAGTAAAAATAATAATGTTGATAATCCTTTTTGCAGTTTAAAGTCTTGATATATTTTGTCTCATTCCTTTCATTGAATTACACAAAATGCTCCAGCATCAGATATCTTCCTCCATTACCCTACTTTTCCTCCTCCATTCATATTGAGAATATAATTTTTTCACAGAAGCCCACACCGGCTCCAACACAAACATTTTGGGTATAAATCCAAATCATTGCTGCTATCATTCTTCTATCATCATGTTCATATATTTTTCATAAACTATCAGGAAGCGCTAATCACCCAGGACAAGTAGTTATTAAACACCACATCAAAGTAATTTTTCAAAGAGCTGTATGTAATGCCCAACATTCAACCATGGCAAAAGTGTCGCTCTCTCTCCTAACAACTTAAGTTATTAAAGGGAGAGCTACATGAAGGATTTTATCTCTCTAACAGACTGTTCTAATACCCTTAAGGCTAAGAGAAACTACCAAACATCATTATATTATTAGAATGTTTTAACAATGTTGGTGGCAATGCCAAGCTTAAACAATCACCAAAGTTGGCCCTTGTTTGGTATCTTAGAGAGTTCTCAAATGTTAGTATTGATTTCTCCAAAATAAGCTGAATCAAAGATACACAAAGAAAATAACTCCACCCATAAAAAGGAGTGACCACCAGGGCGGAGAAACTTTTTCTACTTGATTTGCATACAAAACATTACCAACTGCTAAGCAATAATTTTCATGCTTTTTTCTCTTCAGAATTATGCCTGTGTGATCAAATCAAAGCTAACCTTAACTAAACAGGTTTAGAGCGAAAGGTTAAGGTGACAAAACAGAGTATTCTTTCCTCTTAAGATAAAAAAAATAAAGAACAAACAGGAACGATCCCAAACATCACACAAGATTCCAATACCTGATCCATGATATGTTGCAGGTGGCAAAAGCTAGTTGCTTCACGAGAGGCTTGGTCCAGAGCAGAGCTCATGGATGAGCTTTCCTGCACTGTTGATGAGTCTATTTCTGGTGAAAATCCTACACTAACTTCTTGAACTTCACTATGACCTTCATTTTCATTTTCAAACTGATGACCTACATGCTGAGCTGAACCTGGACTGTGAAATGGCATTTGATTAGGCATATTTTCATTTTTGAAACTCCGACATAATGGGGGCCCATCACAACAATGATGCAATTTTTCTCTCTTCTCATTTGTTTTCAAGGCAGCAGCCTCGAAAGAATGACCATGAGAACTCTCCACATTCGATGCATAAGATGATTCTTTAAGAGAAGCAGACAGACGTCCATCAAGCTCAGATCTTGATCCAGAGAAAGTTGGAAAGATAGAAGCATGATTTGGAGCATGACTATGGTCTGGGTGTGTTATAGGACTTTGTGTCTGTATACAGCCTAAAGAATCAGATTCCATGTTCAGCTTATGTTTCTGGATGCTATCAAGTGAAGTAACCCCACTGGAAGAAGCTCCAAAATCTGCATATTGCTCAGGAGGAGCATAAGGATGAACAGAACCACTATTTTTTCGCCTTCCAGCTGATGGTTTTGGCACTTTCCTCTGCAGCTGTAACACAAGGATATTTTTAGCAATATGCAAATAAAGAGTCAATTTAGTTCAGATTATAGGTTCACCCCAATAAAATTGATTCAAACTAGTCCACCATTGCCATTAAACCTACATTGTAAACCAAATAAATCCAACAAATAACCTGGAATGTGAAAATGAAACAATTAGTCTTGACTTTTGTAGTATTACATAAAGGTCTCATTTTCAAGCCCCATTTTCCCATCAACAATGCAAAAATAGTGAAACATGAAAAAGCATAATTTGAATCAAATAGGAAAGTGGTAATTACTAGATTGCTTTCAATGCACGCTCATTGGTAGATATCACTCAAATCAAGATAAAAGAAGTTAAAGTATGCCATAAAAACATCTTATGAAGACTATGCTAAAAATATTTCATTTTCTATTCCATAAAAGTTTTAGAAGTAAAAAATGATAGAATTTTATTCGACTTTCATAAATTATAAAACTCCTTTAAATGGGTGAATGTATGATTATATCCAGAGATCAACTGAATCCTATCTACAATATATGAAACCCAACTTCATTATCCTTTGAAACGTCAAACAATCAGTTCTGGAGTAGGTCATACTTTGAAATTCAGGAATTCAGAACCCAAGTTATATAAAAAATATGTATATAATGAAATAAAATGAATGGGTAACCAACCTTTTCTCTGGGAAGCAAGTCATATATATTAGCAGATTTCATGTCTGATTCACTAATTGATAATAATGAAGCAGGGACACCATTGTCAATAACATCGATTTGAGACCTGACTTTTTCATCAACAGGAGCTGATCTTTTGTTGGAATCATTGATTGGAACACCTCCAATATTTTCCTTGGAATCCATATTATAATCTGATATACTTTTCAAAGGACTCATTTCTGCACTTGAAAACTTGAAGTCATCAGAACCATCAGCGCCATGAGAAGAGGAAAGCCAGCAGAACTGCTCTTCATTATTGAGACTTCCAATTTCAAAAGTTAAATCACAACTTCTGCAATTTTAAAAGTGAAATCAAATATTCATAAGGCAATTACAAGGAATTGATTAGCATCTCAAACAAAGGGCTACAAGGAAATTTCTATCAAATAAGAGAATTTCTTACAACATCCTGTCAACATCTTCAAAATTTCCTATATCGAGCCACCCATCATTATCAAGAAAACTGAGTTCGTTGTCAGCCTGGGATATGTGATTGATTGGGTATTGACAGACACTATCATCTTCCACCAAACACTTGTCTCCCAAGATACTATCATCAGCACAGAGCTCGCAACCACCAGAATCTAAATTGCTGCTCTTGAAACAGTGATCGGACATGCCTGTGTCATCTGATGTTAGCCTTTTGGCTTCTTTGCTTGACTCACTATTGCATGAAGAAAACACACCTTCAGGCGTGTTAGACCATGAATCCTTTTCCAGCATTCTTTCTTTTTGGGTCATATTTTTTAAATATAATTCCTCTCTACCCTGAGTACCATAGCTATTCACATAATCCCTACTTCTGATATGTAATTCAGGAATTGATTTCTTGCAGCTATCTCCCTGTATTACAAACTGATTATTATATTTATCACCAGCATGAGGCACTATGTGATCACTATTATCACCAAATCCATCCCACACATTATCTTCAACCTGTAACAGAAAGACACATATTAAACAAATTACTAACAGTAACCTGACATGACGTAATGTGAGAAATCCATAAAAGCATGGCATGAAACCGGATAAAAAGAGAAATAGCAAACATCAGGTTTATAATTTTGCTAAAGCTCCTACTAATACAAGCTCCACCACTCTGCCGATATCAGCAGGAAAAGGGAAACAAGAAATAACAATAAATCCAAAAGCTGTTCTGTTATTCAGAAAAAAGAGCCACTTTACCCTGCAAGAAGGGTTTTGGAATAACTTTATGGTAAAAAATCCACTATAGAAGACATGAACCACATGTCATCCAAGATTCAAATTGAACCTAAAGGAAGCTTAACTCAGACATGATTAGTTAACATGTAGTACTTCAAGAACCATGCAAATAAGGACAAAAGTGGAGTTGATGTAAGCAAAAAGTAGGACGAAAGTTATACAAATTTAAGTTTCAAATTTACCATTTAACAAGTACTGTATACTTCACATTAACAGTAACACCAGCTACACCCACTGCAATCAACAACTAGCTTTTCAAGAGGTGTTTCTGTAGTCTTATTAATAATTACCAAGCCACTTCTTCGTCTGTAGCTCTTTTGAACTTGGATTGCACAACACAGCCTGATAATAAGATTATGCTACAGACCAAAAGTCCATTTGCGTATAAAAGTGATATTTAATCAGAAATAATATTAGCACTGCAATGAAAACATCTAATGAAGCCCAACTAGTGATATCATCAATAACATTACAGAGTAGTTCACATTATTTGAGTAACGAAGGAGCAATCTTCACTTATCACCAAGATCTGCCACTGAGCATTAGCCATAGTAAAGGATACTTGTCACATTTCCTCCAGCTCACCAAAACTGCTCAATGTTGACTTCATTGCTTTAGAATGATGAATACAGATATGAAACTCTAGGGAACAATGCCAAAGATGTGACGTCACTGGACTACCAATGACAGGAACGACGTTTATGAACATGTCACAGGAAGAAAAACAGTCTCTAATTATGCTGAAAAGTTTTTAACCAATATTGTTATCTCAGTTATTGAGTATATAAAAGAAGAAGAGAAAATTGTTTGGTCAACACAGAAAATGGCACTTATGTTCAGAAAGACAAGTCTGCTTGCATTGAACCATGATTTTAATGAGAAATGAACACCTAAACGGGAAGCTTAAACGGTGAAACACACTAATAACATGGTAAATTATTTTAGTCAGAATAAAAGAGAAGTTAATCTCTATTTAATGCTGTGAGATGAGATCATTAAAGTAAAAAGAGTTCACTATTTTTGGGTTAGAGACAGTTTCCAACTATCTTAACAAGTTAGGGGTAAATATATTCATGCTTGAACTCAAGCAGAAGATTGGAACCTATAAAAGAGTAGAGTCAATAGGTAACTCAATACAAATGTCATTGTACCTTGACATCTTACAAGGAAAGGAATTAGGGCCAGCTATATATTCTGCACTACATAAAGATTGGAATTTCAAGTGTAGACAATTAATACAAGCATTTTGATGTTTGGGCATAGTATGGCACAAGAATATTTATTATATTTCAAATACTGGGGTTGAATTTAACTACAATATTTTATACCTCGTAGTGGTACATACAGATGTTTGACATTCCTCTCTGAGACCCTTTATCCACCACTAAAGATACATTCAACTGCTTGACCCAATGTCATATTTCTTTAACAGTATCTGTCATCAAAGAAGGCTTCTCAATCACAATATGCACCAAACATAATACTTAGCTTAAGTCATAAGTTTGAAAAATCACTGAAACAGTGTCTAGGTCAATCAGCACTTTCATATCCACTGCATTTAGAAATTATGAATAGAAGTGATCAATGATAGCAACAGCTACCATCAGTGAATTCTTAAATGTTTAGGTTAACACTATATGTTGTTGTGACTCTTGAGAAATGACCAACTGGCACTAGTATCACCACCACCACCTCATCGGTAGTACACGAACATCAATATCCATCAGAAATTACCAATACCAATACCGATCTCATTATCGCTGTTGACTATCGTCATACCAAATTTGGAAATTTTGAGCATAAAACTAATTTGTCAAATAGTATAGATAAATTCACTAGTGTTTTCAGTCCAAGAAATACAGAGCTGACACTACAGCTACAATTCTAGGTACACGACCTTATAATTATAAAACAGGATCCAAACTGTTCCTGTTTCACGTTTCCACAGCTCTTCAAACATTATTCAATGCTACAAATTAGAGCCTTGCCAAAACCTTCACCAATTACAAACCAATTTGACAACACAACACATTCGCAAAGGATATTCTTATAATTATCATTGTTATGTTAAACTTCTGCTAGGCCCAGAATTCCATTCCCCTTCTCTCGAAAGAAGGCACTCATGCCAATCAGCTACCGTTGCCTTCCTCTTAACTTTAAGCACGAAGCAGAACCCTAAATATTATAAACTTCGTGCAATTTCAACTCATTTAGCAACTTATACTACAAATATATACATTAAGATATAGCGGAATAAATCTGGCTTCTGAAAAAAAAAAAAAAAACTGAGCGAGCCATACACAGAAATTCAAAGAACCAGAAGTTCATTTTCACCATTTCCTTACTTCCGAAATATTGCACCAACCGGATTGCTATGTTACACTACAATTGAAAGCGCCTAACGACCAAATCACAATTTAAAAATAAATAAATATCACATCAATTAAACCATGCAGCGATGCTAACAACTAGCTTGTTACGGAAAAATAATAACTACTGTAACAATAACGAATTCTAAAGCAGGATGCAAAATAGAAGCACTTGTGTCTAATTTCCGTTGGAATAACTATAAATTAAACCATCAAGAAGAAGAATAGCGTGAAGCTCAGCAGAAGACATCTTTCTTTTTCAGACTTAATTTTCATATTCATCAACTAAAACAACGATACCATACAAAACCAGAGATGAAAAAGGAAAAAAAAAAGTTACCAAAACGAGAAATCAGAAAACGAGAAGTAACTAAATGACTAACTAACCAAAGATAGGAGTGAAACTGACCTGAGGATCGAAATTCGGTGGAAAATCGCAAGTTTGGGAATCGGAAGAGAAAACTAAAAAAAGAAAAAGAGAAAAAGTGAGAGAATGGATTGGGGAGCGTTCGTTGTTCACCTCACGCGTTAGGATTCCTTTCCAGACGCTTCTTTACTATCATCCAACTTGAACTTGCCCGCAGAATTTTCTTCTTTAAAAAAATAAATAAATATTATTATTTTTAATATTGCAAAAGGTATCACGCAAAAACCGACACGTGGCATTGAGATGGATATGAAATTTGGTTCGTGGATGGGAGGTGGGTGCTTAAGATCCGATCAGTTACTGCGTTTCTATTGGTCCACGACGAGTTCCCGTTTCTCATCGGGACACGTGCCCCGTACCCACTCGTAGTACCCTTGGCACGTGCCTATCCTCGAAACAAACAATTATGCTACACTATTTTTGTTTTGTTTTTCATGAATATAATAATCGCCACTTGTCTTTCCTTCACCACTTTGGAACCTCCTCCGTAGAAACTCTTTGCCATGTTAGTGGTTTATAAATTTGGTGCGGTGAAAAGTCAAATTAATTTTAAAAAATTGTATCCAATGCATCAAGTGATGGTTGTGCTTTAAGGAATTTAAGATAAAAAATTATTAAAAACATTTAATGTTTTTTAGTAAATATGATAATTTAATTAAAAATAATTTTTTATATCTTAAATTAAATAGCTTTTTCTGTTTTTTCACAAGTTATTATGAGAAATTTTTTTATAATGTTTTTTCTGAAAATTTAATTGTCAATGTTTTCTGCCTAATCTTTAAAAACGATTAAGCAGTGAGATTATGACAATCCTCGTAAAAATTTATCTTCAAGACTTTTAGTTAGTATACTTATGCAAATAGTTTTATTTTAAAAAAATGCATCGGAGTGAAACTTTTCCTATTTGACGTAGGCTTGGGCTGTTTAACAATCTTGAATAAATGCAAGCAATTGTTATAAAAAAAATGTGTAGCATGAATTGATATTGGAATGAATTATATTTTGTTTACAGTTGGATATATGAATTTAAGTTCGTAGATCAATCTATTTAATTTGTAGATTAAGTAAGTTATCACTAATAAAAATATTGAATTATTAAAATGTGGATTTTTTTGCCAGATTTCATTATGTTATTTTTAATATTAGTTTTATATATAAATATAAAAATATAGTATTTTTAATTTTTAAATGTTTAATATGATTTATTAGTTAAACAAATCAGTTCGCTAACTCGCAAATCAAAATAAATTAATTATTGGCAAACAGTTTTACATTTAAAAACATTATTTACACGTTCGATTGAAACCTATTTAACACGGAGATTTCTTTTGCATGTTCTTTTTTACTGTTTACACCTATTTTACTATCTTTTGTTGTCAAAATATCCTTTATCATAAAAATTGAAAACATCCATGCATTAATTTTCATTTTTCAACCTTTGTATTTTTTTTAATATAAACCTTCGTGTTCATTAACCAAAAATATTGTTACACTGTAACTTTTTTTTTTTTTGTTATTACACTATAACCTTTTTAACATTTTAATTTTTAAGTATTAGAACTATTACTTTCTCACTCTTATGAAGAATAAGAATGTGACCTAAGTTATATTTACTGCTTTAACGTGAAAGGTATAAATTGTAATATTGAAATGAACTCAAGTTAAAAAGAATCTGAAGATAATTTAAATATATTATTGTAATATATTTTAATTCTTTAATAATATAAAAAATTACGCTAATAGTAAATTAAAATTAAATTTATTATTAATAACATAAAACTAAAATATAAATAATTTTATAAATTTATACATTTATTAACTTCAACTAATAAACGAACTTAGTCTTTTATTTCTTCTTAAAATTAAAACCTCTCAGACTCTTAGATCAACTAAAAAATAGCAAAACATTTTGATTTTAATAAAAATATTGAAAATAAAATAGAGTATAATTAAACAAGTATATTAAAAAGATAAAATAAAACTTATAGAAACAAGTTTTGTATTGATATTAAAAACTTCTTACAAATATTGTAGAAGTCTAATACAAAATATTAAAGAAAACTATTACAAAGCTTAAGAAAGAAAGTTTCTTTATATCAAGAATTATAGAAAATTTGTGTTTGTTTGGAATGGTCAATGCATTCTTCTTCTTAATGCTAGTTCTTATAGAGGTTTCTTCCTTTTGAGAGATTCTCTCTTATTTTCTTGATCATAATTTATTTGTCATTTTTTATTGCTGACACTTATTTTTCATATTAATTTGGTCCACCTTTGTACAAAGATGCTTTTACTTTTACTTTTACTTTTTAACTATTCATTTTGCACATCTTGTCTTCCACGTTTTTGTTGACACTTTGTTTTATCTGTCTTAAACGAGAAATAAATTACGTAGTAATCATCTTCATTATTATAACCAAAATCTTTTATATCTTCTAGCGGATTTAGACTACTATCTTTTTCTAAGGCGGCATCTAATGTTTTCAGAGATATTATTTGTATTATCTTATTAAATTTATTTTTGGTCCTAGCTGCGCTAAAACTAGCTAATAACTGAGTTTTTTGGTTGAAGAAACTCTTAATTACTTTTTTCTGTTAGTGCTAAACTTAAACATGAGTAGGTATTATGAGAAATCTTTTATTTGGACTTGGTATTTTTTAATATACATGTAGGCACTGATATATTTTTTTGTTTGCGGAGAAGCTCAAGATTGAATTTACTCTACCACCTGACTTTTATAGTTCAGACTAATAATTATATTGATTGTTGCTCATGAATTTTGGCCGAGTTATACTTCTACATAGTTATCCAAGTGATTCCTTGACTTGTTATGAAGGATATGAATTGACACTCGGGAGTAAAATTTGTATTTTTGGTGAAATAATCCAAAGTAACTCTATCTTCATCAAGCAGTATTAAAACAATAGGTCCAAAATCATGAAACCAATAACAAAACTATTTGGAAAATTTCAAAAAGATTCCTTTTCTAAACCAAGAATGAGTTGTTGGTCTGAGATAAAGGATGTTTCTTCAAGCACTAATATAATCAAAGTAATTATATTGTTTAGGTCGGTAGTCTATTGTAAAGCTTTTACATTAGAACAGGGGTTGTCCCCAATCCTTTAGTTTCAATATATTGTTTATTTTAAATTTAAAAAATACAATCTCTTGTGTTTATGGATTTTTGTGATGAGTTAATTCTATGGACTAGGTACCTATAAGAATAAACTCATAATATTCTCTTTTTCGTTGTGAGGATGACAATACAACATGACATCATGGAAGGAATACGTTTTTGGCTATTTCATTTCTGGATAATGAGAACCATTCGAGCTATATTTGCATTACCAGAATACAATCTTCTTTTTACAAATATAGTGATTCTGATTTAGTGAAATTTTAGAAAAATAGTATGGTGAATTTGTTGGAAGAGGTTGTTATTTCATTTAGAGTAATAGTTTTAGGGCTTTGTAAGGTTTGTAATTAAAGTTGTCATTACCTTTTTATCTTTGTTTGGTTTTTTAGGCGTCTGTGGTGCATTTGGTTCTGTCTTTTTACATGGTCCATAACTAGAGCTAGTTATTTTAGACATTTTCTACTTGTAGAAGATCTCTAGTAAGATAATCAGGTAAAAAAAATTATTTCCTTTGATATGTTCAATGTTAAAATCAAAATTTGATAATAAAGTTTGATATCTGGCAAAAATATGTTTAGAAACTAAATTTTTGACATCTTTTTGTAAAATTTGTGATCCTACTTTGCAGTCAATTTTTATTAAAAAAATCTTTTGTTAAAAAGATCATCTTAAAATTTTTATAAACAAAGTACAATTAATAAAATTTCTTTTTTGATTGTTAAGTATTTATGTTGTGCATGAGGTCATATACCAAAGTAATATCTTACTATCTATTCTTTGGTGGTTTCAAAAAGAACTTGTTTCAAAATTCTCCCATATCTTAAATTTGAGGTATCTATTTCGACTATTAATGAAGCTTCGGGATGTGGAATTCCTAAGCATGGAAGAGTTCTTACTAAAACTTTTACTTTTTGGACTATTCTAGTCATTTCCTCGTCCTAGGGTATTGGATTTTTCCTTAACCTTTTGTATAGAGGAGCACATATTGTTTAATATTATGGATAAAATTTGCTATATAATTTAGACATCTTATAAATCTTTGTAATTGAGTCTTGTCTTTTATTTGGTTTAGAAATTGTTAGCAAATTCTAAAGACTTTTGGATAAGTGTAATTGTTTCTTCATAAATTTCATATCCAAGGAATCTAGTTTTTTCTTGAAATATTTTTTATTTTTCTAGCTGATACAACTAATCCATTTTCTTTTATCAATTCTATAAATTTATTTAAGTATTGTATGTGTAGTTGTATTCCTTTAGAGAAAATAAGTACATCATCAAGATATACTATCGCAAATTCCATATGAGGATAAAAACTACTATTCATGATTTCTTGAAATTTACTAGGAACATTTTTTAATTCTTGGAGCATTACGTTTCATTCATAATGACAAAAAAAAACTACAAAAGATGTTTTATATCTATCTTCTTCTTTTATAGATATTTGATAATATCCTGATTTCATATCAAATTTTGAGAAAATGTTTGCATGTACTAATCTTCTAATAAGATCTTGTTTGTTAGGTATTGGATACCTAATCCATTTTAGAACTTTATTTAAGGGTTTGTAATTTATTACTAACCTAGGAGATTCTCATTCTTGTTTAGAAGGTTTATTAACATAAAATCCTGTATAACTCCAAGAAGAATTTGAAGGTCTAATTAATCTTTTTTGCAGACAATCTTCTAGTGCTTGCTTACAATATTGCAATTGATCTTTATTCATTTATATTAGTCTAGCTTTTGTTGGAATATCTTTTTTATTAAAATTTTCTTCACAAGGTACGCTTACCTCATTTTTTTCTACAATGAAAAGTTATTGGATCTGTTTCACATATTTCTCTTTCTATTCTTTTTTCAAAATCTTTTACTATTTTTTGTATTTTAAAATTTTTTAGCTGTTGTTCTATTTTTTTTTATAGCTTATTTTTTTGTTAATCATTTTAATTTGATTTTGTTTTTTTTTTCTATTAGATTAAACTTAGACATTGAAGCTTCTTGTAATAGATTTAGTTCTCTAATTCTAGGAGCTTTTATAAATTTGAATTATATTAGTTTTCATGGTAGTACCACTGTACTTATTATTCCTTCATTGTCTATATTACAAAGATATAATAATGTTAGGAATGGAGTCTCTAATATCATTTGATTTTTCATATTTTTTACTAAAATAAAAGAGATTGTAAAACATTTTATTTTTACAAATTTTTTTTTTTGACAATTTGTATTGTATATGCATCCTAGATCTATTTGCTGAAGTTAATTTTTCTGTTGTCTTCTCGTAATATTTAGTAGAAATTAATTTTTCCTATATATAATTAATATCTGCTCCTCAGTCTATTAAAATTATTATATTAAAATTTTCTTTTCCTATTATGAGAGTAATTTCACACCATTATTTATGAGTTGTCATTAATGTTAATAATTCTATTTTAAAATTTTTTGTCATTCTTCTTCTCCTTGTTTATCACTTTGTTCTTTTAATAAGTTTTTCCCTTCTAGTTTTAATAATTTGAATCTAATACTATTTGGTTTTGTTTTAATTTATTTATTTTTCTTTTTAAATTTTGCATTTCTTTTTGTAAGTGTCTAATGTTATACTCGCACTTGATTGTTTGAATTTTTTATATACATCTTTTATTTCTCTAGACTTTATTTCTAAGGACTTTTCTTCTTCTCTTGTGACTAAATCACTTAATTTTTTTATGAATTTATTTTTTAATGGACCATCTTCTAACTCTTCAATTAATGTTATTAAGGCTTGTATTATTGTGGTTTCACGGTTAAGCGTTTCTCTTCTGGCTTGAAACCTATAATTTACTTTAGTAATTTTATAATATACTCTATAAATTAAATTAAATGAATCATAGGAATTACCTACTATATTTTTTGGTGATTTAATAAATATCTTAATTGCTTTTGCTATATTTTTATTATTGAAACTCATAGAGAAGTTAGGGAAGCAATTAAAGAAAGCATGACCATCTTGTAGATTTATTTCTAATGCAGGTATTATAGAATCTTTTACTTTTAGTAATTTCATATCCTTAGAAGTATTAATATGAAAAGATCTACTCCTAATCTATAATTTGGTTTAACTACTAATTGAATTAACCCTAGATGGATAAAGTTAAATCCGTGCTTTTTATGTTTTTGTAATACATGGTCTTCTAGTAATTATATATCTTTTTTACTCTAAGTACCTAAATAAAAATATTCAACTTTGTGTATCTGTTTATTATTATTAAAGGACTAAAATGATTTTTGTTGATATACATCTTTTTCTTTTATAACTGTGATTGATTAGTTATGTAAAGATTTTTTAATTTTATTTATTGTAATTTGTTGTAGAACTGTTTCTGATGTTGAGGCTCTATCTTTAGACATTACTCTTTTAACTATTTGACTATTTCATCCTAAGTTCAATTTACTCGTAGCTCTTAGTAGATTAGCCATTTTAAATTTCTAACCCTTAATGTAACGGAAACACTCTAGCTGACCAAGTGGTTTACCACCATGCTATATCATGAACATATAATCAGGACTACTATTTGAGCTTACCAACATCTAAACAATTTTCACTACTACACCTAAATTTTAATTTGAAAATGATTTCTCTACTTAATTCAACTAGTAAATAAACCTAGTCTTCCTTTCCTTTTTTAAAATCAAAACCTATCAGACTATATATATATTACAAAACATATAATCAGGACTACTATTTGAGCTTACCAACATCTAAACAGTTTTCACTACTACACCTAAATTTTAATTTGAAAATAATTTCTCTACTAAATTCAACTAGTAAATAAACTTAGTCTTCCTTTCCTTTTTCAAAATCAAAACCTATCTCTCTCTCTCTCTCTCTCTCTCTCTCTATATATATATATATATATATATATATATATATATATATATATTACAAAAGTATAATAAACTAATTTTTTTATGCATAGTCTAATCATCGATATAAGACATACCTTCTAATTAGATAGTTATCTATAAATTTATAATGTATAAATAATTTATAAAATTAAAATTATTTGTTATACAAGTTATGTAATTAAATGATTTATATTAAATAATTTCAATAAATATGCAATATTATAATCATATTAAAATTAAATATTAAATATTTTAAATTATATCTTTTATGAATATAAAATATATTTAGATAAAAGAGATAATACAATAGATGATAAAAAAAGAAAAAATGAGATAATTATAGAAATAAAAAGAACAAAAAAATAATGAAATTAACATATACACAAAAAGTTTTAATTATGATAAATAAATTGTTTTAAAAAATAAAAATAAAAATATTAGTGAGCTATCTTTTGATTAAATGCTTCTTTAAATAACTTTTAAAAATTAATATTTTTAAAAGTTAGAACTCTTTTTAATTTTTATTTATTAGATAGTTCTACAATGAGATACAAATTTAAACAAGCTAAAAATTATCTCTACTAAAAATCAATCTTTATTATTGGAATTTTGCATCGTCAAATTTCGGCGTACAAGCAAAATAAGAAAACATGAATAATGTTTTATTGTTAGTGTTTTCAAGCAACAATGATACATCAAATCAAGCAGAGATGATTCTTCTACTCTTTGGAGAAAAGAAGCCAATTTTGGGACTGTGTGAGATGACAATGTCTTTGGGACGAAAGTCCAATTTGGCCCTAGGATCCCCTCATGTTGAATGTCGAACATGAGGGTCATGTTCCGTTATTTTTTTGCATTTGCTTAAGCGAAAATTTTACTCGCTTAAGCGAATGCAAAAAAATAACGGAACATAACCCTCATGTTCGACATTCAACATGAGGGGATCCAAATCCTCCAGTTTGTGGGTTGTCAAGCATTGGCGGCACCAATGGTGATTGCAATGGTTGTTCTATGCTACCATCTTTGATAATATTGGCAGTAGTTGGTGCTAAGGAAGCCATTTTAATTCAATGAGTGAAAAAGTACTTGAAAACTTTTCTTGATATCACAACACATTCATTTGGATTTGATTGGTGATATTGGTAAATTTGTTTTCGTGATTAATTTTTATTAAATTAACCAAAAAATATTAACATTTCTATTTTAAATTTTGTTATAACACTTTTTTTTCCCACGCTTATGCTGCAGGGAAGCAAAATGGATATTCCTAAAAGAACTAACTAAAAAGGATAACTTTTGAGTATATAAAATAAAACTATTAATGCATCAGTGTTAAGATTTTTTTTTCTATAAATAATTAAGAGATTATTAAGCTAGATCTACTTTATGATTGTTTATTTGATACATGGAAAGTCAAATGCTAAGGCAAGGTATTAAGTAAATAAAGTAAAGAAAAATAAAATATTGAATGCACATGTATTTTTAGATTTGTTTATATAAATATTCATAATTTACCTAATGAGAAAGAAAAATTATAAAAAAAATAATACATTTAAATTTATCTAAATTTTGTCATTCTTGTATTTGTACTTACAAAAATCTCATTAGGTAAAAACCTTAAGTAAAAGAGAGAAAACAAATTATCTCATTTTAATTTCTAAAATTGTAGAAATTAGTTATTTTAATCCATACCTCATAAAATTCACATTATAATATTTGTCATTGCCACACAAAAAAATATTTTTATATTTTTTTTTTATCATTAGTTTACATCTAAAAGGACTAAAAATAAGTTGTTTTATAAAGTTAATAGGCTAAAATATAAATTTTTATAAGGAGAAAGATCTTTTAAAAATTCTTACACTTAATCTGAACCTTCCACTTAACTTAAATCTAACAGTCAGTAAAGTAATAAATTATAATATATTAAATTTAAATTAAATAAAAAGTTCATAAGAGTTTTTAGACTTAAATTGGTGTAAGAATCTTTTTTTATAAAATTAAGTATTAAAATAACTAACACTAACAATTTAAAAAAAATAAAATGAGGTTTTACTAACTAAAATGGATATTCCTAAAAGAACTAACTAAAAAGGATAACTTTTGAGTATATAAAATAAAACTATTAATGCATCAGTGTTAAGATTTTTTTTTCTATAAATAATTAAGAGATTATTAAGCTAGATCTACTTTATGATTGTTTATTTGATACGTGGAAAGTCAAATGCTAAGGCAAGGTATTAAGTAAATAAAGTAAAGAAAAATAAAATATTGAATGCACATGTATTTTTAGATTTGTTTATATAAATATTCATAATTTACCTAATGAGAAAGAAAAATTATAAAAAAATTAATACATTTAAATTTATCTAAATTTTGTCATTCTTGTATTTGTACTTACAAAAATCTCATTAGGTAAAAACCTTAAGTAAAAGAGAGAAAACAAATTATCTCATTTTAATTTCTAAAATTGTAGAAATTAGTTATTTTAATCCATACCTCATAAAATTCACATTATAATATTTGTCATTGCCACAAAAAAAAATATTTTTATATTTTTTTTTATCATTAGTTTACATCTAAAAGGACTAAAAATAAGTTGTTTTATAAAGTTAATAGGCTAAAATATAAATTTTTATAAGGAGAAAGATCTTTTAAAAATTCTTACACTTAATCTGAACCTTCCACTTAACTTAAATCTAACGGTCAGTAAAGTAATAAATTATAATCTATTAAATTTAAATTAAATAAAAAGTTCATAAGAGTTTTTAGACTTAAATTGGTGTAAGAATCTTTTTTTATAAAATTAAGTATTAAAATAACTAACACTAACAATTTAAAAAAAATAAAATGAGGTTTTACTAAAAAAAATGATTGAGAGGAGAGACAAATGATGGAGAGGGATTTTTTACCCCTTATTTCCCTGCCCAAGAGCCCCAGCATTCTTCTTTAACCATACAGCCAGTTTAGTATCACATAATTGTTTTTTCAATACTATACTAGAAACAAACAAACAAATAAGCTAATTAGGTCTATTCTACTTCATTTTTGTTTTCACTTACAAAAAACCAATTATCCTGTAGCTTAGAAAATTGGTGCAAAATCAACACCTCCAAAGAGGAGGAAAAATAACAGGAAATGTGATTCTAAAATTAAGAGGAGGGAATTATAATAAATGAAAATACAATTAAAGCACCAGCTTGGTCATTCACTCCCTTGCGAGACAAAGGAAGTTATTTTGAGAGATTCCTCTTAGTATTTTACAGTAGCAGCAAACATCCTAACACTATACACTGTACATTCTCAGCCAGTGAGAATACCATAATTAACAGGATAATAATATTCATAAAGTTGAGATACAAGACAACAGAATAGTACATTCACAAGTCTCAAATTTAAAAGGGAGCAAAATTGTCTGCTCTTTGTTCTTTTTTTTTTTTTCCCATCAAAAATTAGCTGAGCAGATAGATAAGCAATTCTAAACAGATTGACTCCTTTGTATGGTTATCAGCATCCCAACTTACAGTTAAATAACCATGCAATGCATTTGTTCAGTGGCAAACTCCGAAATGATTTTTAATGTAGGACAACAACACTCCTTGTTAAGGGAAGAATATACATCATTTCTTTAAAAGCTTCTGCGAGAAAATCTTCTTGGAATACGGGCTGTTTCGTGAAATTGCTTTGTGGCTTTCAATTGCTTCAACTAGTGAATTATGCACATGGCCCTAGTTTAGCAGCAAAAGGAAAATACGAGAAAATAAATAACGAACAGATTAGAGGAATCAAAATGTTCATTTACAAAACCCCAAAAAGCTAAAGACATGACTGTAAATATTTGTTGCACTTGTATATAGGAAGATTGAAATGAAAGGAATATAAAATGGCCTTGTTACAGACCTCAGAATGTCGAAGAGCTGACTGAACAACATAATTAGCATGTGGATCTTGAAGCAACTGTTCAAAGTGAGGAGTTGAAAGCAGTTCACGAATGACTCTTGACCGATTCTCATCATTGAATACAGCAAGACATTTTTCGACCACATGGCTACTGAACTTCTGCATTGACAGGTGCACGTATTTACCCTCAAATTGCAAGCTTAAAGTTGCAGTGGCAGATGGAATCCTCAAGTCCAAGATAAATTGAACAACATAATTTCTGCAAAAGATAAAAAAGAATGAATAGATCATAGTGTGGGAAAATCAGGAGAGACAAAATTTTATCTCATAGTTTAAAAGAACGACATGATTTCTAAATATGACCAAAAACATACATGCAGCTAACCTTCCAATAAAAATGATCAACCAGACTTATTTGTTAACTACAAATCTCAAGCAGAGAAGAAAGCAGGAAAATGCAAAAAGAAGAAAGTACAGAAACTAACAGAAAAACACTCATTTCAAGTGCAATGTACCACCATCTGGTTTAAGGAGTCCCACTAATAGATGAATTAAACAGGTGATAATTATAGATTGATTTTGGTTTCAAATTTAAATATTATAGCTGTTAAAATGTTTTGTTCCCTTAATTGCATATTGCACTACATACTGTCATTATCAATCTGTATATGGAATGGTCATATGCAAGAGGTGTAAACAAAATAATGTTTTATAACTGTCACATCTTGTAGTCCCCACAAAGCCTGGCCATCGAGTGATATGGCTTAAAAGTTTCTTTACACCATTTACCAGAGACAAACTCCTACAGCCTAGGTTCTTTATCATGGGAAAAAATCATGTCTGTAGACAAACAGGTAGACATTCTTAAAGCACAAAAATATTTGTTGCAAGATTTTTGTGCTTTAGTGTGCTTCAAATAATTACCCATATTGATCTTGAGCTAGCAGAAGTGCATTAGCAGATATTTCTGCAACCAGTTTTTCTCTGTGCTCCCCACTTGAATGACCAATGCATCTTTGCAGAACACAACATCCATGTTGATGAGTTGCAATGTCAACGCAATACTTTGCAGCAGCAACAAATATGAACTGTTCAATGCAGGTAATGAGAAGTAGATCTTTGGCAGCAAATATCAATCTTTGCACAAATATTTTATGTAATTTCATCAAACACCAATCTTTAACAGTGAAGAAATTACATTTGTGACAAAGTGACCCGCCCAAATCAATTAGCAAGGTTAACAATTGAACTAAGGACAAGTAAATCACATGTATACATACAGTTTATTTAAGAGTGTTTTAAATATGCAATAGAGATGTCCTATAATAATATTTCTATTTAGTAAGACAGACCTTTGTCATTTTTTCTATGCAACATTTTCATTGCTCAATATATTCCAAGCCTTAAACTAGGGAATGTGCACCACTACAGACTCCCTTTACTCAACAATATATATTGTCACAAATTAATCATTTTTGGTTTGTTAGGTACAAGACTCTCAACTATCAAGAATGTTAATGCAATTTAATGGTCCTAAATGCATTAATTTAACAATGGAAGAGCAGGTTACATAGGGTCATGTTTGCTAAAGTTTTTAAAGCAAAGCAATGTACTTGGATTCTTTTTGTATTGAATTTCAACCCATAACAACCTATGTTTGAGCTGACATAGCCATTAGTGTTTGGAGATCTTCATGAAATCATTATTTTAGGTAAGCTCTTGGAAGTCTCCCAAGGTTTATTAATCAATGATACAAAATTGTGGAACAAGATTCTATAACCCTGCCCCTACATTCAATTGTCAACTATAATGGAGAGGTTTAAAATGCTGTCTAGAACACTGAAACAGTAAGAGTGAAGCACACAGAGCAATTACGTCACTGCAATTGGATTTTGTGAGAAGAATAATTACAGACCGATAGTGTAATCATTATAATGTTATTATCATAAATTTCAAATTGATGAAACCAACTTGACATGGTGATAATAATGTATTATTTAATAATATCATAGGTTCAACCTTTTATCTGCCACAAAAGAAGAGTTTTAACAAGGTGATCAGAAATAAATCATTCCATATGCTTTGATACCATGACATCTATTCACAATATCAAGCATAAAAAATTGCCATCTGTGATAATGACCTTGGCATTACTACTTTTCTGTAAAGTCATAGTCCTGTTAAAAGCATAATATGCTACATACAGGACCATAGCTGAAAGATCAACACAACTTTTCATTAGATTATTACACATGTAAGAAAAACAAAAGTTCATGATCATTCAAACGAAAAATGGTTTAAAGAATTTGGTTGAGCTGTTCTATTTATCAGTTAATTAACAGCACACACCATAGTGCTTCCTTGTGATCCCTCTCCTGTCAAAACCAACTAAAAGCTCATTCGTATAGCCAAAGAGAAAAATGCAAATATTATTCAATAGTGCATGCAAACTTAACCACAAAGGGACAATAAAGTTGAAATTTCAATATTAAAACATCATTTTTCAGCTTTGCATGTCTGGGAATACAATACTTTTCACACATGATATCAATCATCAAGGATTGATCAAAAAGTTCATAAAAACATTGCAAAAAGTATGATTTAAGCAGGTCAATCTCTATTCACCCATAACTACATTATGTACAAAAATTACCCAAATCTGTAAATACTTAGGAAAGACAAAAGTCATACCTTGTTATCTTCATTGCTCAGGCATTGCAGACAATGCTGAACCACATGATTTCCATTAAGATCTTTGATGAGGGCCAAGAATCCTGGTTCAAGAGCCGACACAACTAACAGAATTTGCTGCCTAGTTTTGAGAGTCTCAATCAGCTTTTGTACCACACGAGTGCTATCAGAAGATAACAAAAAGTGTCAAATTCAGCATCAGACAATCAATATAATATTTCAATACTTGCATAAGTTGCACAATTACCCATGAGTGTTTAAAGAGATTCTAACAAGCTGCCCCGGTTCCAAAGTAACCATGAGTATGATCTGCATCCTCTGTTCTTCATTGCAGACATCCAACAACTTCTGCATGAGGTAATTTCCAAAAGGATTCATCATAAGTTCCACGACATGATCAATGATCTCATTAAATATCACTTGAATGTCTTCTGGTGCACCCTCATCAAACATTCTTTGCAGGAATCTACAGCCGTGCTGATCTTTGGCTATTAAATATATCGACCCTCTAGCATCTGCAAGGGAATTATACTTGGGTAACAAAGGGAATGAGCAACCATTCCTAGGACTCCTAGGATTTTCATGTCCTACAACTTGGTGTCTGATGTCTAGCTCAGACCTCTGTAGCTGCTTAGCAAAGCCAGTTTCGCGCACAGCACGCTGACACTTTGAATGATTCAAATCCCTGCCAACAACATAATTTAAACCTTCACCTTGTATGATGAAGCTCCCCTCACTTGCAACTGCATCTAGATTTCCTTGGGGGACTCTAGCATTTGAAGGTGGTACAGCTCTTGCATTAGGCACAGAGAGGCCATACTGCTGTAACTCTTGAACAGCGTTACAAGGCCTAAAATTAGTACAAAGGGAATAGTTAGGCAATCTGGACACACCCCTTTCTTCCAATAAATTCATTCCATATTTCTGTGCATACATGGAAGCATCAACTGGCGCATCTCTACTCAAGGAAGCAACAAGCTCGGGTGCCACACTTCCCCTACAATAGTAGTCATTCATCAGTAACTGCCTTCTGTGCCTTGGAGAATCAATTGAACCACCAAAGCCATTCAATTGAGAGAACCGGCCATCATGCCGGCCGGGACAGGGCTGTGATCCAACTAAATTAGCTATTTTATAATCCCGTGTTAACCCCGACAATGCCGAATTCATTTCAGCACAGTGACTGATAGGACTCCTTGTCCTGGTGAAAGGGGATTGAAATCCAGCAGAATCGCAAAACCCTCTCTTGAAATTGTCATAATCCCCACCATGCGTGTTGTGTACATTACTGAGTGAAGGATTATTGTTACTATAGTTAAAATTATTTGCATTCAAAGAAGAATGACGAAATGGAAGCACATTACTATTCTCCTGTGGATTACCATTACCAATGCACATTATAGTGAAATTGGCGCATAGGCCAAGTTCATCAACCAAACTCTCACTGGGTTTCTCCCTCACAACGAAAGTCGAATCGGGTATCTTGGAATCCAACCAAAGGGTGTTGGGGTAACAGAAGGTTCCAGAAGGCATGTTAGGTTTGAGGTCGTCAAAAGGAGAAGGGGTTGGTGAACCAGCGTCAGATAAGGAACGTCCAGCCAAGCTCGAAGAAGAGCCATCAGATTGCAGAGAAAAGCCACTGACAGGTGATGATGATGCACACGGAAACTTAGTCTGAGTTAAAGGCTCATCATCATAATACATACCATTACCATTACCATTACCATAGTTTCCGAAATAGCCATGATCATCACCACCACCACGCTCGTGTCCATGCCGATGACAAAGATGAGGAAGATTGTGTGATGTTGCGTGAGGGATCTCATCCAGCAACATTTCAAGCTCCTCCAGTTCGCCAGCGTCCTTCGCGTTATCTATCATCTTTTTCGCCATGTCAGCACCAACAAATGGAGAAGAAAAACAAAAGCAGCAAAATCAAAAGAAGCCCAGAATCAGAAAGGGAAAACCCATTTCAGACGTTGATTGAAAGAGAAATCGGTCATATCTGGGTAGGGGCTGAACAATCAAAGGTGGCGTCTTGGCGATAGAACTCGCAATTGCATTTGCATTTTCATTTGAGAAAACGATCTGGTTTGGGTTAGTGGGTTTTATTTAGGAGGAGTTGGTGAAGCATGCAAAGATTGAAGACTCACTGAGATACGGTTACTGGGCACCGTAGGTATATATATCTACACACTCAGCGTAGTCTCACACGCCATTAAAGCTGCAAACGAAGAGACGCTCTATCTAGCCTTTCTATTTTTCTCTTAATTCTTATCTCTCTCTCTCTCTCTCTCTCTCTATATATATATATATATATATATATATATATATATATTATGATTTATGAACACACCACACCCAACAGACCCAAGCCACAACACACACAGCAAGGAGAAACGAAACGAACCAACACTAGGCTGTGCAAGTCTTTCTCGCACTGTATTTTTTTAAGCTTTTTTTATTTTTTTATTGTTGTTTTCTAGTATTAAATATATAGGTTAGTGAAGGTGAAACTCCTTTATGATGCGTGCTATGCACGCTCTCAGGTGAGGGTGGGTCCCGTTGCATTATGGGCACCTTATCGTGGAGTTCTGGTGCCGGAATCGCGCGTGGATCGACGATTATTGCGGTTATCAGTGATAAAATGAAAATGGAAAATGAAAGTATTTTTTAAAGGAATTTTTCTGTTACTAATATCTGCACGGATTGCAACGAGACAATCTTCCAAATTCTTCCGCGTTCGTATAACTGCGAGAGGATTTGTTATAAAGTAACACTTTTTTTTTGTTACCAATATTGACCTTCCAACTTTGTTTCCTGTTTCCTCTGCTTTCTATTTTCCATCATTCTCGATCTAGTTATGCAAATCGATTATTTCAATTTTACTCATATCTTTTCTGTATTTATTAATTTCAGATAAAGTAATAATTCAAATTTTCAATTTCAATTTGAAATTGACACGAAAAAACTTAAATTCAGATTGAGTAATTTTAAATAATAGTATTTAAGAAACTAAAAATATATAAAAATATGAGATATTTATGAAAATAGATCACGTAGTTCATCAATAAATAAATAAAATTTTAAATTACATTTACATTATTATAACTTATTCCTTTTGAAGGGATAATTCTCTATATGGATAAGAAATGTATTGTTCATTTCATCGTTAATTTGCATATAAAGAAAATTGATGATAAAGCATAAAGTTGTTATTAATGTACCAACAAAAGAACTTGTTATTAAGACATAAACACATGGTACATATTGAAATATATGTTGAGATTCGGATTTAATTATTTTTGCTTTCATTTTAAATGAATATTGACAAAAAAAAATCAGCATATTGCAAAAGAACTTTTGACGTTAACCTTCTTCTTTTGCACTGTATAATTGTCTTGAAATTGTTGTGGGTTTGTGCCCTTTCTCCATCCCAAATAAATAAGAGAAGTTGTAAAATGAATAATTTTATTTTTAATTTCTTGTAAGATTATGCAGTTTTTTCCAATTCAAAATACGCATTCGCGAAAGAAAAAGAGAAAGATATAATTATTTTCTATTATAAGTTTTTTAAAATAAAATTAGCATTGGTGATAAGGTGTTTGGATAATGCAATCCGTAACTGTCTGAAAAAAAAAATCCAAAACGAGATTAATTTAATAAAGCAGACAAGTATAGAAAATGATGGCTGAAAATAAAACATTTGAATGGTAAGCTGGTTTGATGAAATCAACATATATATATATATACAAGTTTACAACAGCGACAAACCAAAGCTAATTATGTGTACTTAGTAATAATTGATTTATGTTAAGGTGGCGCACTCACGCAAGGTTCGGGACGATAATCAGCCAGTTTTTTTTTTTCTTTTATAAAAAGATTATTTATTATTTATAATAGGCATATTTTTATTTATTAAATACTTCTGAATTTAGGTACAATTATTATAATATTTTACAAACATGTATTTGGATAATATATTTAATTTATTTTATAATAAAGATTTAAAAAATGTTTCAATTAAGCTATATAGTATATATTTTGTAACTGAATTTTATTCATTTGTACAAATATTGTAATGATATTCATGTTTCTTTAATAATTTATCAAATAAATGTATTATAAACAAAATAAACTCAAGTTAACTAAAAACATTTAATAAATCCAACTATAGGTATACAATACCTAATAAATAAAGGAAAATTATAAATTAAGATCCTGAAATTTAAGTTATGTGAGTTTTATTCTTCAAAATTTGATTCGTGTAAGATTTAGTTCTTAAATTATGTTTGATTAAGGAAAAAAATTAAAGATTATTTGTATATGACTAAAAATTTAAAAGATATAAATATATAACTTTTTCAAATTTAATGACTAAATATGCATAACATAAATTTTACGATAATAATATATATTACATGTACATTTTTGTTATTCATAAAAATGTAGACTTAGATATATTTTTTGAAGAGTTCAGATTCTAATATTATATATTAAATTTAAATATTTATATCATTTAATAAAACTTTTATAGGATATAGAATTAATTAATTTAATTGTTAAAGTATTTTGTATTATTTTTATAATTATGTGTGTAAAATTTTATATAATTTAAATATTTATAAATATATTTAAATTTTAATATTTGTTTATTTTTAAATATATATTAAAATAAAATTACGTGACAGATATATTGTATAGGAGTTAATGAAATTATTTTAATTTTTTAAAATTTGCTTCTTATAATTGAGTTGCTTTGAAATTTAAAATTTTGGTAAATCACTTTTTTTAACGCATAACGTTGTGTGTTTCTGATTTCTAACTTGAATCACACCAGCATATAGGACATCAAATTCCACAAAATTATTACTTAAAATACACTGAAACATGTTCTCCAATTTGGCAGCTTAATTGACACTTTCTTTTAGTTTTCACTTCATTTAGTAATGAATGGAACCATTATTTATCACATTACAAGTTTATTTAGTGTAGTTAAGAATTTATTTTTTTATATTAACAACTATAAAATTTTATATGCCTTTATTTATTTAATATTTGTTAAGAGGAAAATAAACATATTCTTTTACAAAAAAAATAAAATTATACTAATATAAATTATACTCACTTTTATATTACTTAATAAAATTTTATTAGATAATTGTAAAATAATTGTAAATTTGTGATAGATTTGAGACATGATACTAGGAGTTAGGATTCAAAGAGGAGGAAGATTTATGATTTTTTTTAAGGTAAAAGTTGACATTTAGTTAATGAATTTGGACGAAAATAATAAATTTTTATTTATAAAAAATAAATAAAAAATGAGAAATTAGGATATGTTCAGTCAATAAAACTATTTATTGATTATAATTTTTAATAATAGAAAATGAGAGATTAAAGCCATGCACCGGACACAATAAAAGAAATAGAAAATATAATTTAACAAAAGTGACAATAAATTCAGTATAATGATTAAAAAAAACATTTCCTTCTTAATAGTTTTGCAGACTGAAGAAGAAAACAAAGTGTTATACATGAGGCGAGAAGGACACTATCATATAGTAACAAGAATGAAGCACGTTTGATCATAACACTGAAAAGGATGCCATACAAATAAACCAACCTTTTAAATCGTGTTTATCTTGGAGTGGCACCAATGTTAACCCCATATGGGTCATGCGTACGCTATTTCTGAAGAGGAATATTAGTAATATGCTATTAACATTTTTCTTTTGTGAAATTTGAGCGACGAGAGATGGGACACTACTCTACTAAACCATGCTTTTAACTTTAATTTGGTGATGGGGGAATGATACCTACAGGGAGATGCATATTTTAATCATTCAAATATTTGATATAAGAGGAGATTTCACCACACTCAACCTCTTCATTGCTTTTGCTATAAACTAAAGTGATTAGTGACCAAAAAGAAAGGGAGGAGTGATGAATTCAATTTTAAATCCATATGCATATATATTTAGATGGAAAATGGTGAAGCCCAAATGTGGACAATTGTGGACATGATACCATCCATTCAGGTGCCTTGCTCTCAAAGAAAAGGACACCTTTGGAATTTAAGGATTTCCAAAGGCCAATTTCTGATCAATCTCAAGTTTAATATTTTGGCCTAAAAGGAATTACACGACAATGTCACGAACATCGTTTGATACGGTTCCTTAGTCGGAAAGCGAGAAACCGTTTGGGCCCACATGTGCCTGCACCTTCATTTTTAGAATTGGTCCACCCATGTCGTGGAACTCTTCCTATAGGATTTTGACACGTGGTATTCGATACCAGATCAAACCCACGATCTTTTTGTTCCAGGGTTTTTATTTTGAGGTCTAATCAGATAGATCCCCCTTTTGGGTTACTTTTTATTTATGCCTTCAAACTATTACTTTCTTTCTTTTAAAACAAACACTGTTATAATTTTTAGGTTTTTTTTTTAATCTTACGACCAAATATACGAAATTTGCTGTAGGTAAACTTTAATTGTTGAGTTATACACATTATGTATTGTGAAAAAGTGAAATGTGTATAAGGAAAAATAAATAGCTATATAAAGATAGTATAGTAAATATGCATGTAAAATAAAAGGAGTTTAATGTATAATTATATATAATTAGTTTTATACATAAACATCTAAAAAATAGAGTAAAAAATCCGAAAAAAAGGTTTCTCATGCGACGCCAATTGCAACAGTGTCTGATGATAAAAAATGTGGAAACTTTCCTACCGACAGTTGGCGGTAATTAAACGATATTTTGTCGGTCATTCTTCATTAGTCACTGTAGCATTGGCATCAACTCATCTAACTTAGGCGTGGGAAGAGAGATGTTTGTTGCTTAGCATCAACTCCCCAAATTCGTGCCGAGTCCATGAGAACCAAACGACAGCGCTTCACTGCATTTACCAATCCACGTGTTGCCACATAAATGCTACGCCCCTTAGAAAGTTACATGTTAATAGATTTTTAAAAAAATAAATTATAACATTTATAAGCTGTTTATTTTATTTTAATAAAAATTTTATATAACTTATAAAGCTAAATTATTTTTCATTTATTCTAATGTGGTGCAGATTTTTCAGGCAAAATATCTCTACTAATTGTTAGGCAAGAGAAGAGGAAGTTGTATCAGTAATGCGAAAAAGGGTTAAAATCTGAATGATAATGATACCCACTCAGGATCAGCATATGGACTAAACCACCGGGTCAAAGTACCCACTCCTAACGTCAAGGAGTCCTATTGGCATATTACTTGGTTCAATTTTTTGAAAAAAGAG